GTGGAAGAGGCTTCTGACGTGCCAGACTGGAAGCAGTTGGGCCAGGCGTACACGGCACTGAACTGCGGCAGGGAAAACTCGCCGGACTCCGTCTGGGAGGCTCCTTTCTCCCAGAGGCCACATAAAAGCACCTGGGCGTTAACAGCAGCCACACACACGCTGTTTTCTCGGATCTTCCTCAGGCTTTGCCAACCTACCTAAATCTGAACGGGTTCCACACCAGGGAACAAATGCATTTTCTTAATCTCTTCTGAACACTACGCAGAGCGACCAGCCATTGAGCACCGCTGCCTTGAACACTGGCGGCATATGAGCACAGAACGAACTGATCAGAAACATTATCTTACTTGCCACTCAGCGGGATGTCACGGGAGGGGGGCGGGTACGGCCGCAGAAGTCCGTGAGGGGGCAGAGCCGAGACGCACGCTCCCGCAGCGCACCGTGCCGGGGGAAGGGGCGATGGCGCTCCCGCCTCTCCGCGTGCCCGCCCCGCGCCGCCCCGCCCGGCGCGCGGCGCAGGCGCGTTGGCAGCATAGAGCGGGCCGGGCCGGGTCGGGCCGGGGCAGAGCCCGCGGGAGGCGGCGGCAGCGGGGCAGGTGCGGGGCGGCCGCGGCAGGCGGGAGGGAGGGGGCGCGGGGCCGACCCAGGCTGGGAGTGCATGGTAGGATGTGCGGGCAGGGCAGGGCAGGGCCGGGCGGCTGCCGGTCGGGTCCTGCGGGGACGCCCCCTGCAGTGCTGCCAACCCCCGGCTGGCGCTTCTCGGCCCGCTGGTGCTGCTGTTACCGCATCTGCCCCGTTCCGCAGTTCGAGGCGGGGATAGGAACGGCCGGGGTGCGGGGATGCGGGGCCCCGAGGCGAACACCTCCGTCTCGCAGGCCCGTGCACTGGCCAGGGGTGGCGGGGGGACAATGCAGAACCATTCCGCTTCGGCCTTCAGGAATATCCAGTTCTAAAATAACCCATTCCAGAATGATCACAGCTGAGAAGGCGGCGATTACATCATTGAAACGGTGGTATTTAATGCTTTGCAGTAATCTAGATCAGTTATTTTTGTAAACAAAGGCATAGTTACTCAACGAACTATAGGCATGTACAGCATTAGGCCTAGGAAAAATAATTAAAGAATGGTGAAGAACGTTGCTCCACCAGCAACTGACCCTTCAGAATTACAAAAATACATCTAAAATTCAAATATAATGGAAGTTCCAATAATTGCTGCCTCCATTTTTTTTCCTTTAAGCAGAGTATCGCTCAAGAAAACTCTCTTCAAAAGTGGAAAGAGCCCCTACCACAATGATGAACGCTGATATGGATGGTATAAATTCTTAATGTTCTTGTTCTTCATTGTTATTCTATTTAGTATAATTTTTAATTGTTACCAGAGGTTGCACTAAAACTCTTGTGCTTTATTGCAGCTGTTGAGGCTGAGAATCAGGTGGAATTAGAAGAGAAAACACGGCTTATTAATCAAGTTTTGGAACTGCAGCACACACTTGAAGGTTAGCAGCTTGACATATCAGATTTTTTTACAAGTACACAGTAATAAGCAGAAGAGAACCTGACTGCTCTGCCCTTAGTCACAGTGTCCAGAAGTATGTCATTTAATGTAGTTGAAGGTACAAAACCAAGGTCTTGGAAATAGTTTTTTTCTTCCTCTTTATGCAACATTACGTTTGCTCAACCTTGGTAGTACACAGCAAGTAGAACGGGTGATACAGCTAATATGTCTGTGCTTATCAGAAGATACACATCTGAGGCTGCTCATCACTGAACTCTTGTTTCCAAGTAATTTAGTTTGCAATAGCTTAATTCAAAAATTCAAGAAAGCAATAAACGTACAGACTAGCAGTCAGTTTAACAAGTTGGTCAAAGTACTGCACTACAAAATAATACAGGAAAAATGGCCTTTAGGTAAAACATTAGTAGGAGAATATTTTATAATACCCTATGGTAATGTTTTCTGGATTAAAGGTGTGACTAGTCTGATGTAGGCCCGTAGAACATATTTATTATTGTATGTAATAGTGTATAATATTTTTCTTATAATATCACCTTCACAGATCTCTCAGCACGAGTAGATGCTGTTAAGGAAGAAAACTTGAAACTGAAATCAGAAAACCAAGTTCTTGGACAGTATATAGAAAATCTGATGTCAGCATCTAGTGTTTTCCAAACAACTGACACAAAAAGCAAAAGGAAGTAAGGGTTGACTCACAGATTATGTCATTGTATTGCTGCTGGGGTTTTTTTGTTTTGTTTTAACTGGCATAGGCTACATAAGCTAAAATACTTTAGTTTGTGGCTTACTGGATTCTCAAAGATTATAGACTTTGATAATAAACAGAATTAAGAGCATTATCATGAACACGAGACAGAAGATTGTGTATTAAGATCGAGCAATGTGCAAATGTAGAGTAGATAATTACAAAATTTTTGTATGTTTTAAAAATTACCATATCTTGTTAAAAAGAAGATTAGTTTGTTACGTTAAACAAAGGTCTGTTGGTATTCTGAGGTCTTAGGGTAGATTTCTTGACTAGGTTGTGTTACAATGTTGTGTTGAAACCCCATTTGATAAAAATATTCAGAGTTTATTGCATCACTTTTTTGCACCTGAGATGTGTTTACTGCATAGTGCTGTTCACAGTTCTGAAAAACAAAACAAAAACCTATAAACTAGTTAAGCATTTCTGTGAAGTAGGAACAGTATGACATTGCTTGCAGGGCTTACTTACAGAAAAACACCTCAGATGGTTTTGGGAAGGGGGAAGGTAAGAGGAGCAACAGGGGTAAGCAACTTATCAGGGAAATACCAAACTGATGAAGTATCAGATGTAATATGTACACTTGAAACCATTGCTACTTTCCCATTTCCCTGAAGAATGCCCAGGCACATCATCACAACGTATGATCTTCCTGAAGTTCTTCTGTTGTGTGATGAAAAGTAAAGTAAAAACCTGAGTGATAAACTCTGCAAGAAGAGATCAGCAATGCTCCTCATGCTTGTGAATAGTGTGCAGTGAGGAACTGAGAACAAGTCTTTTCCTTCCCACCTTTCACTTCCCTCCTGCAGTGCCAAACTTGTCTTTGCTTCTGGCCTCAGAGCAGGTGTTTTCCTGCCTCACAGCCTACAATTGCAAAGTGCTTCTTGAGGCATTGCATAGAAACATCTAAAGCATACAGATGCAGTGGAACAAAGGTAGATTTTGCCTCTCAAAACTGTGCTGCTCTGAGCAATGCCTGGTGTCAAGGTGCTGTTTTTTCCTGTCTTGGATGTTAGGTTTTGTAGGGGAGCTCAGCCCAGATGGGTCTAAGCACTCCCCACAGAAGCAGCATGTCCAGCATAATCAGTATTAAGGGAGAGCAGAAGCTGAAATACAAACAAGTATGTAAATTTTAGCAGTACTTAGTTGCATCTGTTTCATCTTGCCCTACAGCAGCACTGCAGACTTACTTATGGATGTTGGCTAGGACTGAGTTGTTGCTTCAGTAATGAAGTCATTTCACTTGACCTTTTAAAAGGAAACCACTAGTTCAAGGATCTCTCTGAAGCATGGTGTGAATGAGTCAGTGTAATAGAATAATAAATCCCTCTCAAATCCCAAGTTTCTTAGCTAGGTACTGCTGTGTCTCAAGTGTAAGTTGGCATTGTGAGGTTTCCCCCTCCCAAAGGTGAGGTTGCCCATTTCTCCCCATTTAAAATGGTTGTACAATGCTCACCGGAGTCCAAAGACTCTAAACAAAGTCAGAAGACTGAAAACAAAGCACTAATTGTACAGTCTTGAGGGCTGCTTACAAGTCTGGGTCCAGAAACCCAATAATGAAAAAGGGATGATACCATTTGTGTCATGGGGTCCTTGTCAACACCTAGAATTAATTCTCATCTTCTATGGACTACTTTCTCACATTGCTGGAACTCTAAATTAGCAGGTAGAGTAGATCACTTGGCTAGTCCAGAGTTTGAGCATTAAAGGAAGAAAAAACACAGCAAGCACTTGACTTCTGAAGATTGCATTGCATTACAGCCATCATAGCTTTAAAACCATGTCACTGCCATCTCCATCTGCGCTGTAGATCACCTGGTAACACAGCATGCGCTTATTAGACTTCAGCAATTCCTAATATAAAGTAATTTTAAAATCATGGTTTTGTATTGTAGATTGGATAGTGGTATTTTATCCATCAGTGTGTATACAGCAGTTATTTAATCTCCATGCCATTTTACATCCCACTACTGTGGCCTTCATTTAACTTATGAACATTTTGAAGATGTTGTATTTCTGACTTTACACCAAATAAAAACTTCATTTGTCTCAATTAGTTTGGTTTAACATTTGTAAACCCTAAACCTTCTCATTACTATCTGTAGTCAAAAGGTGAAAAAGCAGTAGGGTTAGTAATCATCTTAATGGTTTTGACATAGCTGAACTGTCTGAAAAACTAGATGGAATTGAGATTAAACCTGAGTTAATTAATCTAGCTTTAACAAAGCTTCAGTTAGAAGCTCACTTGCTATTTTCAGCCATCAGTCTTAAATTTCTGTCTACTTTTCTGTTCTTGCTAAAGTAAAAGGATTGGTAGACTGCATCTACTGTTGTAAAAAAGCTAAAACTTGCAGTTCTCCATGTGGGAGACCACTAAGCCAAGTTAGAAATGTTACTTTTTCCTATACTTTTAGTGAGCTTTACATTAGACAGAAACCAGAATTATTACTTCATCATGCCTTCATGAATGTAAATGCCAAATGAAGAGTAGCTTAAACTGTAACTAAATAAAAGGGCCTCAGTACTAGTTGGCCTTCCCTGCATATAAAGTGTTCAGTCTGGGATCTGGTATCCTCAGTAAGAGCTCTTTGACCAAGCTACAACATAGAGGGAGTGCAGGCTGTAGAGGTCTTGTTACTTACAGAGTTCCAAAGACGATTGACAGTTTTAATAGCAAGACATGCTGGAACTGAAAATCATTATTTTGTTTATAAAGATCTTTCAGGCAACCATGATAGCAAGATGAAGCATGTTTCCTGAAATACCTGTTCAGATAAAAATGGACAGTGCACAGAAAGTGTGGGTGAAATCTCACTGTTGCATTGTATCAATGAACAGAGCTGCCCTTTTGCCTGGCTCTCTACCTCTAGAGTCTTAAATCCTCAACATCTCTGGTATTTCTCCTATAATTACCAGCATAAATCTAGATCCAAGTAAGTTGATGTACAGAAGGATGTATGCTATCTCTAGATTCTAGGTGATCAAAGCTGATGGGGCATCAATCAATGCTTTAGGAGAAACTAAATTCAAAACCCTAAGGGAAGATGAGCATTCCCCATGGGGTGACCAATCCCTGGAGTAACTAAATCACATCAAAGAAACAATAGTAACTAGAGTAACTATCACACATCAGAGAAGCAAAACCCTCCAAAACCCCTAAGCAAACGAACAAACCAGACCCCCAGGACATGCAAATGCTGTAACAATTCCAAAGGACTTCTATCAGACTCAGACATTCATTTCAAAGGTGAGCTGAAATAATATAATTCATTTAAAAGATGAGCTCCAACAGCTCACAGTAACTGTTGTCAGCAGGATACTATACTGGTAAAAGCTTCTATCTATTGCTGAGGAGTAATCTGGAGTCTTCTTACCTTTTGCATGGAGGCCCTAAATAAAGAGATGGGAACTTGCAAGTCATTTTTAAAAAGACACAAAAAGTCCCAAATTAAACAAAAACCTAGAGACATTTCCATGTAATTCACGCCAAAAAGAAGTCAAATATAATTAACTTTTGAACACTTCAAAACAAGCACTTGAGGACATTGGCTTCTTCATTAGGGTTAAGCATTCATTTCTTAGAGACTTCCATGGAATCTGCTGTGAAAATACTTCTTTTTAAAGCAGACAAATTTTATGACAGGCACAAGAAAATCTGTTAGATTCTTTATGAATTAATGTATTTCTACTTAGTTTGTAATGTATAACTACTTTTGCTAGCATTTACACATTCTACTACAGGCAGCGGCCAAAAGGTTTCTGGTGAGTGAAATTTTATTGTTTAATATACAGCTGAACTTCAATGAAACAATGTTTCTTTACAATAAGCAGTTTATTTCAACTATGAGTATACCCAAATTACTCACATCGTAAAAAACTTAATCCATCAAAAATTCTTATCTGTATTAATAAATTTCATATTAAGCAAGAATTAATACATATTTTTAGGTGACAATATACACTTAGCAAGTATTCTATAAACAGGTTATACCACTCTGGTTTGGAACATGAGAACTATAAAAGTTTGAAAAAATCATTTGTATATGACCTGCAGATTTGATACCTGCCTTCAAGAGTAAAACAAATCACAATTACCACTTGTATTCTATTTTAAAATATATCTTGAAAATAAATTACTGCAACCAATGCCTAAAGTGAACAGATCACCTCCCATGTAACAAGATCAACTAAAATAAATAATTTACAATAAAAATTGTTGCTAGCACGAAATCATCATACAAAAACAATTATTGCATTTAGCTCTGCACAGAAAATAATACCTTTTCTCACAGCAATGTGAACTGCTATAGATGCTACATCTGTACTACCATCTTCTTTAAGCTGAAAACTGTAAACAGCTTATTTTGTGCTAGAGCTACAAAATTATTATAATGCATTTATTTAAAAATATTTAGAGTAAGTTTATCTCCAACTAAATACTAATTTCTAAGAAACTTCAAATCTTAAGAATCTTCACATAAAAATCAGTTAGTCAGCTTGTAATTTCCTTTTTATTTTGAATTTTAAATACCAGCTAACACTTCACAGATAGCATTTCTCCTTAGAAAAAGGGAATTGAGGAAGTTTGGGATTGTTAAAGAGGCCAGAGAATTAAAATAGGAGGTTAAACAGCAATGAGCCCCTCCTTTTCCTATCAAAGCTCAGGAATTTGCCAGGCCCACTAAAATGGCACACCAAAAGTTACCATCACTGTCTCTAGACCTGCAAACACCAGCTGGAAATAACTCAGTCCTTTCGTACTCTTCTTTTGCGCACCGATTTCAGTGGACGATCTCCCATTCCTTCAGCTTCTTTCTCCTGGAGAAAAAATAAACTCAGCATTAACATTTTAAACTTATTTTGATTATTGAAACTGGCATGCTACGTTATTCCTCTTCCTGAATTCCCCAGTCATTTTATCACTAAATGTATCACTTAAGTGATGAGACATTTTTTCCACACTACTAATTGTCCTAGGGTGAGGTTATGATGCTTGTATCCCCAGTCGTGTGTTCTGTTTATGCTGGATATGATGTTCTGTGCCTTCAAGACTGGCTATGAAGAGCAAATGTTTTGTTTTGGTTTGTTATCAGCCTGCTCCCCCACGGCTGGCGGGACACAGAGACAGGGCAGTACATAGTGCGGCTTTTGCTTTTTCCTTTGCTCTTGCTTCTGCTTTGCTCTTGCTGTTTGCTTCTGCTTGTTAGTTAGTTCAGCTAAGCAGTCCAAATTTTTCCCTGGACTGTTTTTCCTTTCCCTTTCTGGAACCACTGAAACCTGCTCTGGACCGGGACCTGGGAAACACCACGAGTTTGTGGCCTGCAGCAGCTATCCCCAGCGCCGGAGGGAGCAACAACAGAGCGACCACGCCCAGGAGAGACTTTCTGAATTTGTCATCCTTTTCAGAGTGGTGAAGGAGTGTTGTCATATGGTATTGTTCATTTTGTGTGCTGGGGGTGTTTTGCCTGTTAAATAAACAGGTTCTTTCCACTTCTGTCTGAGGAATCCTTCCCGAACCAGTATGGGTGGGTATGCTTTCTGGGGGGACCCCTTTTGGAGGTTTTCTCCCATATTTGCCCCTAATCCATGGCAATGATTAATAAAGTGGGTAGAAGACTTTTCATTTCTATATTCAGAAAGAAGAGAGCTGTACGTTTAAACTGATGTCAGAAATTTGTTTTTGCCCATGTCTTTGCTGGTTTAAAAGCAGTGATTTTTAAATTAATTTACCAATTTCCTTAAAGAGCACCTTTTGCTAATTTTATTTTCGCTTCTGAAGTAAAATGCATTTGAAACATTTTAACTGTTCCCCTTGGAGAGCTACAAATAGAGCAAACTGTCCTTAAATCAGATGTGGTGTTCCCAGTTTAAAAGCAATGGGCTTACGGTGGCACAGGAAAAGCCTTTCCAATGTGAAATCCATTCTCATATAATGCATTGCTTCCTCATTTTGCTGCATCACCTAATGGCAGGCACCTCCTTTAGAAGGAACAGCTGACCGAGTGTGGCCTAGCCTGAGTGAGGACATGGGGTACATGATGTGTTCCAGACAACTCACAACAGAAACACCTACACGTTGAAAACACTCAGAGAAAAGCAAGCCATGGCCTCACTGTGACACTGTGTAATGCCAGACACACTGAGAGCTTGCTATTACTTTCATAAGGAGTCATGTGAATCTTAGTAGGTTCTGTATTGCTAGGTAAATGTACAAGGAAAAGAAAACTTCTTACAGGAATGAGAGAAAGTACAGATTAAGGGGTAATTAACAAAGACTTTTAGTGCTGAAACAACACAACCTCATGCAAGGTACAGTTTCCCAGAAGAGTTTTACATGAAAAGGGTTAACATTACATTAAACAACTCCCTTAACCTGGAAAGTGACTCATTTAGGGAGTGACAAGCACAAGATGATCAATGGGTGGATCTAAAGTGTTTCAGACACTTAGCAGTTTCTAAATGAAGAAATAATGAGTAGCTGACAAACAAGAAAAGCACAAATTCCATTATACAATGATATTTTATGAAAATAATTTAGCAGAATATCTGGCTGACTGGATTAATCTGCACAAGAAAAACGAAGCTGCAGATGCTGTGTTCAAAAACAGTATTGTCATTTTGCTTAACACCTTATTTTGGAATAAAAAACCCCAAAACGTAACTGAAAAACTTAAGGCTTTTCTAGGTCTTGAGAAAAGGCTACTCAGTTGGAAGCATGTTCTATCAGTTGAAAAGCACAATGAAAACTGACCAATCTGCTGCAGCAACCAAATTTTCAAGACCTGCAATTCATTTAATAATCTGTTAAAAACTATACTCCTGTAAAAATATGTCATGTTTAGAGAGCTGCCCAACCACTTCTATACTGTACCTGTATTTATGCAGAGCATTTGAGGTGTCAAACTGAAAGGAAAGCATATTTCTACCTCACAATTTGTTTTATGGCTCAGCAGAAGAAAAACACTTGTAGGTAACTGAGCTTAGTCAGAAGTACGTCAGACAATGGCAAGGAGAAAGTAGGGAAAAATGCAAACTTACCTCATCTTCTGAATCAGATTTATTTGACCTATCACCTTCTTGACTTCCATCTGGAACTTCATTTTCTTCTTCACCTGGAACTTCATTTTCTTCATCATCATAAATATCCTCACCACCTTCACCTTCTGCAGAAGAGTTAATTTTCCTTTGTAAACAGAACTGTATTACAAATACACCATATCCAGACACACCAGTAAAGGAAAATAAACCAATTTCAGTCTTAGAATGAATTGCTTTTTCAGAATAACCCATAAAAACATCTCTATGATACAGAGTAGAATTCTCATGAATTAGTAGAAAGTGGTAACTGCCAGATTTAATAGCCAATTTTAACACCTCCAACTTTGCCTCTTTTCATAACAGTCTGTCTTCAGACTTGTTACTGACTTAAAGGACTTGATTTACTTTACTTTAAAACTAGCTATTGTATTGGACAGTTTTGAGAGCAGAGTCCAAAATAGGACAACTGAAAAAATTCTGAGTTAGACAGGGAAGTAAAATATTGCAGATATCAGTCATCCATCACGGGAGACACCTACATCCTAAGGGCACATCCCCTTTTCAGCAGGGAATTCTTCTGACATACTGTTTTGTTTGATGGAGAAGCAGCTTTTTATTTCCACCCTTCTTGTGCATTTTTGCAATGCAGAAACTAGTCAAAAAAGCACTGTACTCCCTTAGTTCACTCAAAGCATGTCCAGCTTGCACTACTACTGCAATACCAGTACCCTTTATAATACTTTCTATCAAGAGTAAACAAATCTTAAATCTCACAGAAAGGATATTCATCAGCATTTTGCAACTTAACAGTCTGCCAGTGGCTTTTTTAAAAACAGCAGTGAAGTAGTGCTCAATTCTGTCCTTGTCAGGTCACACCTACTTGTCATAAGCACTGCTTAGGTGTGAAAAAAATTGGAAAAAACCAAAAACAAATAACAAAAATCTGTACTCACATCAAATTCTTACTGTTGCATTTGAGTTAAACTGAAACAAACGTATCCATACAAATTAAGAATGTAGTCACATATCAGACTAGACTTTCCTGATTCTTGGTGATGAAAATCTAGAAATACCTAATTTGTTAAAATATTTGAGACTTCTGTCTCAAATTGAGGAAGTCAAATCTTTGTACTTAAAAGTTCCAAGAACTCTGGCTGCAATATAGCTATAAATTGAGCCAAACAGAGCTTCACTGGTTATGAACTAAGAAGTTCGTTTTGCCATGCCAGTATACCTGGTTCATGTCCACTATGTCTCTATTTCTATTATCAAAAGGAGAAATATGACCAAATAATGAAGATTATGTTTAGGAAAGACACAGACAAAGATCTCAGTCCTAAAAACAAGCCCTTAATAGAAGTGCTTGGCAGAAATTCACAAAGCCTTTGGTGATATTCTAATAAAGAGATTGGAAATTATAAATTATGCAAATCCAGCTCCCCCCATAAGTATGAATTTCAATAGAGGGGAAAAAGCCCCAAAGAAAAAACACTTCAGATATCATAAGCTGTAGAACTCAGAAATGGAAAACTATACTATGTAAAATTATTATTTTAAGTTGAACCATTTAGTAATTTAAGCATTATTTCATATAAATAAATGTAGAACTTGACAAATAAGGTTCAGACTGTGCCCCTGAAACTCCATTTTGTGGCAACATTCTTTTACTTCCTGCAATATCTTTCTACAGGTCAAGCAGACAAATAGACAATGCCACAAAAATTAACATAGAACAAAATAAAACAGTAAATCCCATGGACAATACCCTTCAAGAAACACTCTGCCAGCAACTCATTGTCGCTGGTATTAAAGAAATCACCAGGTGTTTCTAAAATTTGCTGTTGTGCCGCACTTCCTTTTTCTTTATTTTTAAATGGTCCCATGATACAATGTGGATTTCGAGTCACTCAGTATCCACAGCTCAAAACCCCATTGCCTTCAACTCCAGAAAAAACAGAGGAGGTAATGACTACGAAGGAACCGTAAAAATCATAAGGAGACAAAGATACTAGTAGAAAATATTTATGACTATGGATACCATAGAGAGAAATCTCAGAGGAAACTTGCATCTGCACCTGATTGGAAGCTGGCATCCACCAGCTGGAAGTTCTACCATCAACAAGGAAGAAGAGGGAAGGAAACAGATAGATGACTTGCAAGTCCTGGCCCATTGCTTCCCTTTCCCAGTACCTGAAAGAGGAGCCTCCCTTCCCATCTTCTTTGTATTATCCTTTTTAAGTTCTTTTCTTGTCTCCTCCATTTCTCTTCTTTCTGTAGCAAAAAGAATCAGGAAAAGGAGGCAGAAGACAAAATTCTCTAATGCTTTCCAACACAGAGGCAAAAGAGCAATAAATTAACTGAATACTGGAACTGAGGAATGTCAGCCTTGCAACAGCAGCATATTAGGTACAACTACGATTTGCATCAAGACTGGGTCAAATAAAACAGAGTCTGTAATTCAGGAGCAAAGAACAGGTCGAGTAGGGTAAGATCAAAAGGAAAATGTAGGAAGATACAACACTGAAATCATGTACCTACAATTTAAACTAAAGTAAAGAATGTATATAGCATAACCAGAATAATTAAGTACCTTGGTAAGGCTCTCCAATAGCAAGGCAAATGGACTAAGTTTGGTGTGGCAAGCACTGTGCCAAATATGTACTCAATTCTGTCAGTAATGGCATGGGAACTGCTGATGATGAGTGAGCTTTTAAGTAGTGCAGACAGAAGCCATCTACACTCATGGAACATGGTGCAAAGTCAGACAAAACCCACCATGTTTCAGTCAGTAATACAAAGTGATGTCAGTACCAAGACAAAACCCCCAAAAGATGAATGTCTGCTATGTCTGTAATTAGCCACACCAGTCCCTTGTCACTTTTTTTTGTTCTCATCAAGGAAGAGTGAAATAAGAGGCAGAATCTTGCAGAGTTCTGAAGCTAAAAATTTTCTCATCAAAGTCACAATAATGCATTGGAAGTTAGGTGCTTTGGTTTTTATTCATTATGTAGATACAGGGAAATGCTAACAGCACCTCAAAGCTATAGCTGAGTAGTAGCCAGTAATCTTTGATACAGTAACATGGGATGATTTTATCCTTGGATGCTGGATATGGAGTCATTAATTTCTCCCCTGGGCAGTAGGACACACCTCTGCAGGCATGCAATATGTTGCTAAAAAGCAACATAAAGGAAGCTGCAGACGTTAGTAGTTCAAGCCTACTGTATTTTCAAGTTTTAACAAGAGTAACTCAAATCAGTGACCAACAGAGTAGTATAATCCTCCCAGAGAGGTGTAAGCAGATTTATATTAGAGACTTAAAGCTATTCCAGACACATTTTAAAGAATAAAGTGACTTTAACTGTTTCAGGTACTTATATGTGAATAATTAAAATGCGTTTAATATATGAAATATTTAGAAGGGACAACATATGTATCACTGTCTACAAACATAAAAAAATAGTGTTGGAAGCATGTTCATTTCTTGAAAGTGAAGAAATGCTGAGTAGAGCCTTACTTTCTGCTTATATTTCTCAGACTTATTAGCCACGGGATGCCACTCACTGGAAGTTACCAAAGACAAAAAAAGGCTCAGAGCAAGGCACATTTCACATAGTCTAAGAAAACAGGTTGTAATTACTGGCAATGTAATCCATGAACTAGTTATATTCATGTCTTTAACCAACACACTCTTACTCATCTTACCATCTTCATCAGTATCTTCATTTTCTTTTTCCTCTTCTAGTTCATCATCCTCAAACTCCTCTATCTCTTCTTTTAGTTCTCCCTTTGTAATTTGCTTAGATACATCAGGCTTTTTGAAGTCAATATATTCATCTGATTTCTACAACAAATTAAAAATCTATTTATATTTCAACTCCAATTAAGAATTAAACAGGCACTGTAAGCTAAGTAATACCAATGGCATATTAAAAGGGCATATTGTTGCACTGATGCTCAACAGTTTCCAAATAAATTATTAAGAATAAAACCAAATAAAAATATAGTAAATTTCACTAACCTTTCCTGGCCAGCAGAACAACACACTTAGACCAACAGGGAGAGCTAAAGTCAAGATGTAAAGAACCCAGAGCCATGGGTGTTCTTCTGCAGCAGTCACCAATTGACTAAACATACCAGGCTGTATTTAAAAAAAAATTAAATTAAAAAAAATTGCATTTATATCCCTCTCTACACTTAAATAAGTTTATGAAGTATACTGTATACATTTGTATTGTCCAAACCTCTTCTTTACCTTTGCTTTTTAATGACTAAAGCAATATTGCATTTCAATACCAGTAAAGTAACAACTCTACAAACTGCAAATAAGTGGCAGGTGTTGAGTAAGGAGGAACAGATGTAGAACTCCAAACACACCAGACCAGCCACAACTCAACTTTGTAAAGTAGTATTTGGAGTCTTGGCAACCTCACACTTTACACCCTTCCCAGCTACCATTTTTCCTGCACACTGTACTATCTCAGCTGAAAGCTTCAAAAGCATCAAGAGGCTGAGGAGCAATGCTGGCTTCACTTGTATTACCACCTTCTCTCCTTTGACAGCCAATTATTCAGGGAGTGAATTGTCCTCCCAGTACAGCTCTGACTTACAGAGTAGAGACACTTAGGCAAGTGCCTGGTGCATCTCTGTAAGAGGGACATCAGGAACTAAGGAAGTTTGAGAGGCACAGTGGAACAAGGGGACTCAAAGCAATTGTTGTGTCATTGTGCATACAGGTATGGATACAGGTTCAGACATAAACCCAAACATATTGGAAAAGGGCAAGGTTGTGTGAAGAGATAGTCTTCCTGGACAGATATGCTGCTGCTACTTGCTGACTCTGTGACAACAGCAGCTGTAAGGAATTGACCACATTTGCCACCAAGCCATCGTGTCTCCCCCCAGAACAGTAGCCTGCTGTTGCCATTTAATCAAAGGGAACAGAAACAGGAGTGAAGGTGGAGCCCATGATCCCCTATGGCAGGGCAGATCCATCCCACAGCACAGGGAAGGAGAGAGGAAGGCTGTCAAAGTGCAGTACACAAAATGTGGATGCACACATAGAAATGCACACCTAAACAGCCAAAGGCCTAAAATTATTAAACAGAAACAAACACTAGACTATTCATTCCTCATGGGAGGGAAGCATCAAAATAATATATATCATGGATATAACCACAAGGGAAAATAGGCGGTGAGGGGCAGGAGGGGAAGTCTTTGAATGTAAGTAATTCAGCCTTTATGCTTTCACTTGCTGTCAGGTACTGAATTTCCAATATTACTGTGAACAGCAGAAGGCTTCACAGAAAGTCAATTTCTTATTAGGTTTTGAAGTAAAATGCAGAACCCTTTTAACGTCAAGAAAATATTCAGCTGGGAAAGCTGGGAAAAGCCGAACTACAAGACAGAAAACCTATCAGAGTTACTCAGCAAAATTATTAATTGCAGACAAATTAATACTCGGCCAGGATGGATAGAAAATTCTTCCAACAGCACAGCTTCCTTACTACTTTCTACTATCAAGAACATAGTACAGTTTATACCTCATTAGCACTTGCTACTAATTTCTTCAAGCCCCAGCTATCTGCTGCCCAGCGATCTGCTACTTCTTTTTCTGAACATATGATGAAGTTATCAAAGTAGATATCAGATGTCATAGACCACAGTTCTAAACCAATAGCACTGACAGCAGTCATCTTGAAAGGGTGAAGATCTTCAAAATAGTCTGGGTTTGGTATTTTCCGAGGGCTCCAGATTCCCTGTTAATGGAAACAAATGTAATCACATTACCTATAGCTCACCAAAAGAACTATTTCTGAAAGAGATATCAAAATAATAAGAACTTTTATTTTAGAAGACAAGCTGTAGGAGTTTACAGTAGTTATCTAAAACAGAACTGGAAATAGCCTGTAGGATTTTGGCAGATGAGTCTCAATTTTATGGTTTAGGGCAGACCTCCTAAGTAATTATTTTCCTTTTTACTGTAGAGGTTACAGTGATAACTGACTCTTACCAAAAGTGTTAGAGAAAATTTTAGGGAAGGAAAATTCAGCCTTATGATACCTGCGCAAATTAGAGCCCAATTTTGTTTACAAACCTGCTTACGATCTTACCCTCCAAGACATCAGACTGAAGTACTCCCATAAATAATACAAAGTAACTCTCTTTAATATCCAGCTGATTACCTCTTATATTTGGAGGGGAATTAAATTCCCCAAAATTGATGCTTCCTGTAAAATTGAACTAGTCAGGCATTCTCCTTACTGAAAGGCTTCTTTTGTTAATATTAAAAAAAAGACTAATTCAAAAGACTCATATTTAAAATCCTAATGTAATTCAGAATACAATCCTGAAGACCATACTAAATAAATGGTACCAATGAAAATTGTACAAAAGGCAACTTTAAACAAGTAAGCTGTTTTAATACCAGAAGCATTATTGTTTCCCAGTATACTTCAAGGGAAAAAAAGGCAAATTAAAAGCAAAACGATCTTCAATTAGGGAGGGTATTCAGACTCATTCTAAAATATAAGTATACTGCAAAAAAGCCTAAGTAAATATACTACTTTGACTTGCTTGCTCTGTATCTTTTAGCTATGACCAACAATTTGGCTATTACCTGATAGTTAGGATTATCTATCATAGGTGCTCTCCATTTTCCTTTATACTTTGGATTATTCTTCATGGGACGAACCCACTCTCCACAACCTGGTGCAGCCTCACATTTTGCATTACGGATCTGAGGGGCTTCCCACTCCCCATCCATTTCTTCATCCCTAGGGAGAAAAAAAAATTACAAACAACTGCTTCAAGATCAGTGAAATGTCAAACACTGGCAGTCTGAAGTTAGGGTTTATTGTTGTAACAACTTCAGAACCCTGACCAGCTCACAGAACTTTACCAACAGTATAAACACTTTTTTTAAGGAGTGCTACGCCTTTTTACTTAAAGGTCACATGTTCGTAACTACCACAGTATGACTGACTTCAATTACATTCCTGCCTCTGCAGACAGCTTGAAAGACTTCTACCCAGGATGCTTAGAGATCCCTTTTAGACTTACATTATGATTTCAAGTTATCAACTTAAACTGTAGCAAATTATTTCAAAGGGGACCTTCATATTCTGTTTTTACTTATGTATCTTCAGAAAACAAAAGGCAAGGACAAGTTCATATTTTTATAAAAGCAGTCCCCCACACCAACAAATATTTGGCCATACCTTACACATTCCAACTTACTACCTCAAAAGACAATGAGATATGGACTGACTTCTGCAACTAGTAATCTGCCGCATGGAACAGTCTTATCTACAAAACACATTACCAATCTGCACTTACCAGTCCTTTGGTTTTTTTGCATTAGGGTCTGGAACATACTGTGGTTCACCATCAAGCCACCCCTCAGGCTTAACAGCATCAGGATCTTCTATCTTGGCAGGTTCATCTTCATCCCTTTAATTACAGACTTATGTTAGAAAATACAGTAGCCTGACTTTGGACCAATGTTTGGACCAATGTTCGTTTCAGATGACTACAACTGGCATGAAAGAGATGATTTTCAAAACCACAACAGAATAAGACTCACTGATCATAAGCATGACACATATAATTATCTGCTTATAAATAACTGGATTATATTTACATTGTTTTATAGTGCTATTTAGTCCACAAATTGCTGGTATCAAATGGCAGGTGTCAGTCAGGTGTTCCCATTGAGGTTTCCATACTCTTCCTGAGTTGCCATAAGAACAGTAGTTGACACAGAAGTAGAAATTCATTGCGCATTAGGACTATATGGTAGAAAAAACTTATTCATATGTAGCAACCTTAGTTACTACTTGCAACCATGAAAGGCACAAAATCAGCAAGTAACAATTTTATTTGTCTCCTTATGCCCACCTCAGATATATTGTCAAACTTCAGTGCTTTTAGTGAAACGTATTTCAATTGTCATTAGTAAACCCCAAAATAAAACCAGTCAAATCTTTCAAGTAAATAACCTGTATGTAAAACACATGGTAAAAATGAAAATGTTCTCCTTACCAGTCATCTGGTTTGACAGCATTTGGATCAGGTATTTTTGGTCTCTCATCCCAATCATCAGGCTTCTTATCAGTAGGATCCTCTATTTCTTTGGAAGGATTTACTGGAGGAATCATATTCTCAAGAAGACTTCCTTTACTAACAACCGTTTGGTCAATTAATATTTCAAACGTGTCATCTGGTTTCAGCACTAAATTGAAGAAATTTATATTGAAGAACTAAGGGAGCCATTCAATTTTACAGATATATTTAACCAAAACTATAGAATAAGCACAGACTTAATCAAATAACAGCAAACAGGATCCCCACTAGTAGAGGAGACAAACTCCTCACTCAGGCACTGAAGTTTGTTGGACACAAAACATTGCTCTTGAGGGAATGTATGACCAGCATCAGGTCCCCAAAGATTAAACTTGAAAAAAATTCAATTGCTGAAACACATCCAAACACATCCCAAGACATTTTTCAAAAACCCACCAACATGGCCAAAATTCTGTGTTTTTACTTCAAAAGCACAGACAGTGCAAAAAGAATCTCTATCCCAAAAGGCATCTCTGCTAATAAATTACAATCTCACACTTGAAAGCATGGGAACACAAAAACTGTACCAGTAACATAGCAGAAGGATCAAAGCAGCATTTTCTGTCAGGTTCTAACCTCTAACAGCCACACTGCAAATGCTTAAACATTTGAAGAGAATTTCCTGGATGTTAGCAAGTGTGAGTAACTGAGAAGCCAAGGTCACAGAACTGAACAGTGTTAGACTCAGTATCCAGATGCATCCAGATCTATTTCTAATTAGCACTTATAAATGTGCTCACTGGTTAAATAGCAGGTTCAACTGTCCATTTAACATAATGAAGATTACTAAGTAAAAGTAATTACTATTACACTTTTATGCCAGTTTTCTAAAAACAGGTTAAGAAAACCACAGTAACAGTCTTGTAACAGTTTGATAATATCTAATGATGGCTTTCCAGCCTGAAATTTTCAACAGCATTAAAATATCCATAAATGCAAAAATGAAACCCCCATTTCACCTTTAGATAAAACACAACTAATTTTTAAACTCCTGTTACCAGTCACATAAATGCATTGGAATCACATAGCTCTATGGAGTCTGTTTGAATAACTGTAACAGAATAAATGCAATTCAAGTTTAAGTACCTTGATTAATAATTTTTAACAAACAATCCAAATACAGAAATGCATGCATTCCTTTATGATGAGATTCCTAAAATTATTAGGAATTAGGACTTATTATCTAAAAGTGTAAGTTTGCTGTGGCATACTACAGCAATCTATTTTAGAAACCACTAAATTTTCCCATGGCACAGCACTTGAACTTGCCTTCTGTTATCACTATTCAGTGAAGTTCATAAGTACAGTCAATTTGGCTGGATTTGCAGCATGCCACAGATTAGCCCATTCTCTGACTGCTATTCTCCCTCAGAAGTTAGAAAAAGGGGATAAAAATTAACTTTTATTTCTCTGTACAGTTCACTGGTACAAGAAGAGTTGTCATATGAATTAAAATCAGCCCATACTCATTCACTTCAGAGTCTGTGCTGACCTGCTTCAGATGCAGGTGTTGGTGAGAACTCTTAACATGTGGAAAAGAGTGGTGTGTGGCATGCAACAGATTTAACTGAATTCGTATGAACTCTGACACCTTCCCAGAATATTGGGCAGTTGTACATTTTAACATCTTTCCCAGTAAAAATAGTTTTATTATAATAATTACTGAAGGCATTTATTATAAAGGCTAGTCAGGGCTGATAAGTTTTTTCTGTAACTGAATATTAAGCTGTAGCATCTGAAAGCTACTTTATGTCCTGCAGTTAAGCCCTGTCATTAAGCCATTTAACTCAAATCATTAAGCAACCACCACTCAGAATTAACAAGCCATTACAAACAAAGACTCAATTACAAAGCTTCTGCAGAAAAAAACCCACATTTTTCATCTCTCCAATATAAGAACTGGAATTCCACTTTTAAGAATTTAACAATACCAAGAGTATACAGATGTGTCTTCTTGTCCAAATAGAATTTTTTTAGGTCTACATCAGGACGTTCAGCATGTTTTTCATCATATTCTCCAGTTTTAGGATTCTTATGTCTGAAGATAAAGTGTAGTTTGTAATCTTCTCCACATTTATCTGGTCCAAACATAATAGTGTAAGGTGTTTTGTCAAAAAAGTATTCCTGTAGAAGCAAGAAAGCTGAGCATGTGTTATACTGGACATTTTATTATGTCACTTTTGGTACTTCTTTTTCTTGGCATAAAGCATAGTTACCTATTTCTAAAAGGTAAATGAAAAGTGGTAGGGTAAATTATTAAAGGAATTCAACAGTCCTATGGAGTAGCTGGGTGCTCTCTGTTTTCAGGGAATGGACTTACTCTCAGTCTCTTTGAGAAAGATGAATACCTTTATATATTTAGACTTTATCCTTATGTTAAGTAAGAATGCCTGTTACAAACCAAACCACCCAAGTATTTCTCTCCCTCTAAAAACATTACACTAAAAGGTGGAAGGGAACTGGTTACTGTTCTTCATAACAATTTAATTTTCCAATAAAGATAAACCCCAGGATATTAATATCCAGTATTTTATAAGTATCTTTTTCTCTCTGCATTAAGTAACAGTAACAAACAACCCTGAAAATATCAGATACAGTTATTCTCCTTCAGAGTATGCTGCATTACACAGTTATGTCAGTATCTTTTAACTATTTAATGTTTTCTGTATTTGGAATACACAGTAATATGCATGTGCTGATCAGTAAAATTGTTTAACAAGTTATGAGTTAAGATGCTATGGTTTCTATTAAAACAGAAAGTCATACTAAATGTACACAAAAGTCGTCTATCCTGGATATCAGACACCACCCATGGAGAACCAAGCTGTTCCTCAAATGAACAACTGATAGCAAATATTAAGCAAGAAGACATACCAGATTCAAGTCATTGCTACTGGAGAGAAGTTTAATATATGCACCACCACAATCAATGCCTTTTTGAAAATTCACTTCGTATCTGGACAAAGAGAAAGAGACAAAAACATTCTATCAGAAAAGTATCAGAAAAATATGAATAAACTGGTAATCTGCACTTCTAATTATGAATATATTGAGACTGCATATTAGTACCTACTGTCAAAACACCTCTATGTAAGCAAAATGTTTTAACTTACTAATAAACATCAAGTAAAAAATCTGAAGGATTACTTACTGAACAATCAAAGGTTTATCATCAAAAACAAATGCTTTTGCTAGCATTGCTGATATTGCATGATACTTTGCCACTGATTTTAACACTAATCCTCTGTCTCCAGGCATTGCGTTTTCCTTCAGCTCTTCTACTTCCCATCTTCCTAAAACACACACACACACAGTCTTTGAAAAAATGCAGTCTGAATAAAGAAATCACAGCCTTGTTGAAAGCAAAGAGTTGGCAACAAATAAAGCCTAGCTGCCAAAGTAAGGCAGAAAGTTGGCATCTGATGTCAATGATGTTATTTCTTGTTCTCAAATTTAAAAAAATCTATCAGTAAACTTTATTAACTGTAGATCTGTAGCTTTAGGTTGTGGTATCCTACAATGGCTGGAGGAACGAAATATTTCTCCAGATTTTACATTTACTTCTACCATCATCACATAAAAAACATTAGTCACAAAGCACTGTGTAAAGCTAAAGACCTGCATAATTACTTTTTTTCTGCTTAATAAAATTAAAATCTCTTGATTCAAATCTAATCACAGGGTAGATGAAGTTCCCTCCTCCTCCCCAAAGTCTTTCCAAGAATTATCAGATTTAGTCCAAAACAAGCCTACAGCTTTGAAAACAGAAGATTCTATATTTATACATTCTCCAAGTTTGGGATAAATACAAACGTGCCCAATATCCAAAGAACAAGATCTCTTCTAAAAGGGCAGTTACATTTTCTCAGAGACTAACAGGACAAGATTCATTGGGGTTTATTTTTCCAGGAAAGAACAACACAAAACACCCTACTTTTACAATCCGCTGTAATTTTGAAGAACGCCTGTGTCAATGTAAAAAAGAAGAAAACAGCAGGAATTCCTCAGCATGTAATTTAGAGAAGATTCATAAATTGTGATGTGCAAATGAAACAGTGATTTACTTTTATTCATCTGAAGTGTGATTAGTAAAAGTTGTTAAGGAAGGGCAGATATGCAAGTCAATAACAAATTCCTAGTTTCTTCTAGCCTCATAGACAGGAAGGAGGAGAATTCAATCCTCTTCAATAGTGTTCCTTCCTGGAAACTAAGGCCAAACAATAATGCAAGGCAAAACAATAAGACTGGAAAAAAGAATCAGAAAGTAGTTCAAAAATGTATCTTTACCACAGACTTTATTAAATGTTGAATTTTCTGACCTCAAGTAAATAAGACTGCTCTGACATTAAAGACAATTTTTTATTTAATATGAAGCCAAGCAATCAGAGAGGCCTCATTTCTCATAAGCATCTCACCTGTGCAGGTATCTCCTCAGCAACTTCTTAATTTTACCAATTATTTTTGGTAACCACTAAATTTAGAATCATCAGTTCCTACTCTGTTCTGCAAGTTATGCTTGCTTGCCACTTTCTATTAATATAATAGATTTCACTTGACATAAGAACAGTAGCAAATACTTCTCTGTTGCAGTAGAAACTTGTTCTCTTCTCCCCACTCCTCTTGAATGAAATAAAACTCAGGTTGCAAAATTATTGGTGCAGATCACACATCTGCCAAAATTTTAAGCAGCCAATTCTTGACTAGGAAATCACAAGTGCAAACTGCAATGATTAAACCATCAGTACAAGTTTCATTATTACTTTCCAAATTTGTTTTTGGCTATTCTAAGACTAAACTGTACAAGAACCACTGAAGAGCCCTACATTCAAGCACAAGCAATCTGAAAAAGTATTAAAAAAAATGCAGTTTTAACTTTCTTGTTTCAGAGGCTATACCAAGAGACCAAGCCATGAATCAGCAGAAGGTCAGATGGAGCAAAATGGAACACAATGCTTTAGAAAACTGTTTAACAACTGAAATTGAAGTAGTAAATCTCTCTCTGAAATCACAGGATTTCAGAGAAGACAGTTCTAAAGAAACAATACTCATAAACAAACAGTATTAAATATTCAGTTTCCAAAGAGTATTCTGGTATCATCCATGGCAATACATTGTTGGAATGACAAAAAAAGTAATCTTCACACTAAATAACCCAATGAGCAACATTTCACATTTTAGTTTCAGGATAACAGTCATTATACAAACTAACATTTTTGACCTATGCCATCTAGACATTAAAAGACAAGTATTCTGTGTTATTTCTCAAAGAAATGGTAGTTATTTCTCAAAAAGCAACGGAACATCACAAACTAAACAGTGGAGGTAAACATTAAAGCTACTTACCATCATATTTAGCAATGTTATCATCCATGTCATCTTTCAGAGTTACAGACAACACCCACCTAAAAAAAAAATTGTACTGGTCATTGATTTATCTAGGCAAAGCTGTATTATTTAACAAACAAAGGAAAAAAAGCTTTTGCTTCTAGGCTGTGAACCTGTAATACTGATTTTGAGTCAGCATCATGGAATTGCATGTAGCTCTAAGAACATGCAAAGAAAAATTAAAGGAGAGCAATCTAATACAGCATTTCCTAAAAATGTAAATGAATAGACAATTAAAAGTCTAAAGTAATTAAATTTCTGAATTATTTAATTCTGAATAAACTTCAGTTTTATATACAAATTCAGTTTGGCAGAATGTAATATGCATTTAATATAAAAAATGCACAGAAAATAGCAAGTTTCAAGTATAATACCTTCAATAGAGGAAATAATACCTTTCAATAAAAAAGAAAAAGAAATCAGCCAAAGGAATCTTAACTTTATCTGACAGTAAGAGTACATATGCATAGCAAAGGACAAAAGGGAATGTAAGTGACAAATGCAAGATTCCAACTGTACTGCACACAGGAGATCCAACAGGGCAAACACACTCCTGATCTCCTTGATTCTATGAGGAACGCAAACTTGGCTATCTCATTAAGGGTATCACAAGATATGCACAGTCTCCACACAAGTGTTCCTCTGGAAAGGAAAAAAAAGGGCAGTCCACCCTCATCTGGACATACAGCAGCTCTATCTGGAGCCATGCACAGGAATGTCTTAAACCAACAGCACTGCTGAACTCTTTATTGTGTCAACCACAAGGATACGTTCTAATGATTTATTCTGGAAAGAACTGTTTTCATTCAGTCTGAACTATCCTCTGCATGGAGTGATTCAGGGATGAATACCTTCTCTTTTCTGCTCGAACTGCAGTCACATTTGTTCACTGTTAACAGAGATGCTGGAAAAGCTTCACAGTATAAATAGCAAACTAGATCCTCGGCCTACCAGGAGAGAGACCAGTGAGGACATAAAACATCTCTACAAGCCATGTGAAAAATTTTCAAGGCCCATTCTCAAAAAAGCTACTCTATTCTTACCTATCAATTTATACATACTCTTTTCCACACTTCAGGGAAGAAAGTAAGCAGCATGCTGCCTCTCTCATAAAACTTTCTTCCATACTCCTTAGCCTTATGTAAATTATGCAAAGATGGACCAAAAAATACCAAGCATTGTAGCTAAAACTCTGAACATTAGATTTAATACGAAGACAAACTAATCTTCGAACAGTTCTCAAAAAAGCTAGAAGCTTGGATGAATTACCTCATTCAAGTACCCCAGTTAAATCTTTGCATCTGTTAATCAAGGTTTTCAGTGGTTTGTTTGTTTTTTTAACAACCATTATCATCTCTTCTATCTAATATTTTTTTTCTGTCATCACAGGTGCTGCTTTTGCACTTAACATTTAGAACTGACACATACCTAAGATCACATGAAAAGAAAGAGTTTGCTACTGAAATGTAATGGCACTTCACCTCTCAGCTAGTTAAACCCAACTGGCTAAATCTTTGTATTGTTTTTCTTAATGTCCACAAATCCAGAGTTTATTAAAAGCTTCCTTAAAAAACACACAGAAAAGTAATATATCTGAAATGTCAAGTGTCCAACTTAACATTATGACGTATTTGGAGCAAGCATTAATAGTCTTCCAAATTCTAATCCCCATAAAAATTATTTTTATAAAGATAGTAGCAGAAAAATGAATACAAAATAAGTCCTGCCACTGTAAGTTAAACTGCTGAAAGTAAAAATTTATAATTTTAAGATGTAAGCTTACCCTGATAATCCTTCATCAAAGGTTTCTGTAAAATACACTTCCCCAGTTGGCTTTGGAGTCTGGTACACAACCTAAGAAATATGTACAGATAACATATCATAACAAACATAAATTACAATTGAAATACACTCTCCTATCTCCAGAAGTAATCCACCCAGGCAGACCAACAGATATTGTTCATTAGAAATACCTAGCAGCATAAAACCACTTCTCCTCCACCCACATTTCAACAGTTTGTGTGCATCCCTCCAACAGTGAGCAGTTTCATATCTCTGAATTTTCAAAGTTGCTTCCTCTATTCAAAGCTCATAACTAAAGCTTTGTTACATCTTCTGTGAAACAAAACCCCAAACATTTTTATGAACCTGGACCAAATCTGCTTCCTCCCTGTTTCTTTCTTTATATGTTTTCCATTCTTCTGTTTTCCCATCTATTGCCTGCATCTATTTTGAAGAATAGCATACAGATTTTCTGGTAATAAAGACAGTGTCAAGAGGCAGCTGTGACTGATGAAGTCAAGAAGCTGGTTGAAAGTCAAAGTCTCAGTGAGACCAAGGTGCTTTCTATTTACTTCTTTAGAAGCAGCATGTTAGGACTTGCAACAAAAGGTTTTGTATCTAGATTGAAGAAAAACCTTTTTCATGACTATTGACCAGAGGCAGGAGATTTTACACTCAGGCATACGAGATTCATTCATTAAGTTTGCCCTGTATGTCACATATAGCAAGCAAAAAACTCAGACTGCCATATTTGAGACCCACTCAGCTGTCAAATGCAGATTAACTTGCTCTAGTTAGAACTATGTGTCTTGTATTTAACCAGCTTGAACTAAAGACTTCTGTAATCTTACCTCTAGAGAAGATTTATCTCTGTCAACATCAGCTTCTTGGGACTGCTTGTCAAAATTCTCCACTTCAACATCTGCATCCAGATTTTCTTCGTTTTCCATTCCTAAAGTCACTGAGCTAATTACCAGGACACCCAACCACAGCCAGTCCCACTGGAAGTGCATCTTAGTTAACTAAGAAGAATTGAAAGTTTAGAATTTAAATATAATTTCAATGATATTATCAATATTATTTCAATTTTACCCCAGACTTTATCTAAAAGAGGAAAAAATCCTATTAAAATAATGAGAAATAACTATCAAAAAGTGTTGTCATTATAATATTATCTTAATTTGCTTTCTTAAATTTTTTTTTATTTCTCAGACTCTCTTTTCCCTCCTGTTTTCCCTATGGAAGTGCCTGTAGCATGTTGTTCCTTTACCTTGCCAAATCTAGCAACAATCTGACTGCAATATGTATGCTTTTTAAGAACTAAGCAAGACTGCTTTTATTTTTCTCATTCGTAAACAATCTGAACAAGTAATTAAATTGAATCAGTCTTTACAATGCAGCAATAAGCAACATCCCTTTCATTAGGAAAAATTAAATTATAGATTTAGAATGTATTATTATCCACTTCCAGAACTGCATTTGTATTTGCCCCTACTACCAATGACTACGTTTAGATAAGTGCAGAGTGTATACTGCCTCCAGCTCTAAGTGCCAAAAGAAAGTGTAAGATAGTTTCAGAAAGGATTTTCTGATTAAAATTATTATCCAGTAATTTTCAAGCTTAAGTAAGGTAGAGCAAGAGTTTAAATGCAAATACATTTCTTATTTCAGGGAAACCTGAAAATCTTTAATCTGTGTAAGTATGAATATGTCAATAGCAGAAAATTGCCCCAGCCTCTCAATCTAATCTGCTGTGAAATGATTATTGCCCAGTCTTCACATCTGGCAGACATACAAATCCAATTTTATGTTAGAGCATCCAGTGGTTTGAGGAAGTGCAGTATCAAAAATGCCTATGCAAGCTTCCTCAAAGGTCTTGCAAAAAATGTGTTTTTTTAAATTATTTTGTCTGAATTTGTAAACAGAATGAAGACAGATTCTAGACACCTCTGCACAGGTATTTATAACTTGTTTCTTACTAATTCATATTCACAGTAAGCTTAAGTAAATGCTGGTATTTATTTTTCTATTTTAAGACATTTTCAAGCCTTGCATTACTTGTAGCCAGTACCAGTTATATTAAAAGTTCTGGTGCTGAGATACCTTTTGCACCTGAGACAGTAGCCACGCTCTCAGTTACATCATCACTCCTTAGAGATTAAATTGTTTACCACTACAACTCTAAATATCCCAGCAATTATAGATACTATCTTATATTGAAAGTATGAGTCTCTTCCTTTCTTTCTTCCTGGCTTTATCAAATTTGGTAAGCAATTCAAACATTGTAACTGCACCAATTATTTCTGTAATTATTTCATCATTCATTTTTTAACACCTGCAAGTTTTATCAAGCAACACAAATATAGATCAAACTGTATCAGGGCTTTATTTCTTTTAAGATCTGTTAATTTAATATAAACTGCACTGATTATATTTAGAGCCAAAACATAATAAAACACAGGATTATCATAAAGAAGTGTTTCACACACTATTACTATGTCAATACTAGGAAATAATCAAAAACCTCTTTTTTTGGGACTAATACCTATTTTCCACAAAACTACATTAATCATATTACCATTCTTTTTTTCTCCCCCACTCCTATCCACAATTCCTGCCATTCTTTGCAGGACCTTACAACCTTGCTCGAAGATGGTGAGTCTGTGGTTCCTTCTTTTCTTCAGGTAATACATTTCAATAGTTATCTGCAAATTTTACTAGTGTTTTGTATTAAGACTTTTTTTTTTTTTTTATTTAAAACTAGAGATACTGTTAATTCTTTGACCTCCTTAGCAGTTCTAGAACTTAAAATAATCTTGCCCTGAAGATTTAAAGTAACTGAGTTTATCACAGGTGATTATTTAATCTTATGGTGTATTTTTGAACACCTTTGTCTGAGCACTATCAGTTTTACCAACCCCATTTTCTTGTTCCTTAACCATCGTATTAGGACAAGTTCTCACAGAATTCCATATCAATACCTTTGGGACTCCTTAGCTCCTAGCTGAAGTGTCAAATATTAACCAAGTATCAGACTTGCATTTTTAGCATATAGCTTGCCTACCTTACCTTTGCTAGTTTGTCATGCACATGGTCTCTGCTTCCCCTAAAGCAGAACGAGAGGTACAACTTTCTCCTCCAGTACATTTCAGGTGTGTTTGTGTATGATCCAAAATGCTTTTCACTTACATAGCCAAAATTTTACTGTAATTAGCCCCATTCACTTTTCACTTCTGTTCCATATACAGACTAACACAGGCATCCAAGACACACTAGTACTCACCTTTCCAAACAGCTCCCTTACAAAATTTCTGATGCTTTCACTTTGTTCCCACTGAATCTTACCACTACTCCCTGATCCTACCTAGGACTTCCCTAATTTCTTTCAGCTGTCAATTATATCTCTTACTTCTTACTTCAAGAAGAGGCGCATTTTAACCTTTGACCTTTTGATATACTTTTAAAATAATCCCAGAAGTGCTGAAATATGTTATCAAGACCAATTACAGTTATCACTCAAGTGCCAGGCAAAGATGGTTTTAACCAGCCCATGGCATCTTTCACTTTTGTGAACTCTGCCACACTACAGTCTTAGAATATAAAATAAATCTTTCAACTAAGCCAATGAGTCTCAAAACAGAACTTCACACTACACATTTAATTATCTTTAAAACCTACTGAACTTTCCTAATTAACACAGGAAGACTATGAGAAACTTTTCTTACTCTATTTTCAAGGTGGCAGTGAAAATAAGCCAAAAGGACTCTCACAGTTATAACTGCCAAACAGCAAAACAAAGCAAATTGGAAGAGTCTATGGCTCTCACAAAACACCAAACATATTTACTAGCAGTCTTGTCAATGTATCTATGTTCAGACCTGTAATTTTAAACATACATTTTCCATAGCTTGGTCACTTTTTGCTATGGGCAACCACAGCACAGCTACACATCAGCAGCACATTTAAGCCAGCAGTACTATTGCAAAGCATGCTCTAGGGACCACCAACAGTGCTGCAACATCAGCAGAATATTGCACCTAAAGTAACAAGCTGCTTTTTCTGAGAGACAGATTAGTATTTATAAAAGACAATACCATAAGCTGTAAACATATTCTGACTGGCTATTAGAATGTTTTTCTCCACGAGGACAGGTAAGCAGCAGTACAGGCTGCCGAGTCTCAGTCCTTGGGGTTTTCCAAGACAGTCAGAAAAAAATCTCTAAGCAAGCCTGGACTAGCCTCAGGACTGCCCCAGTTGTGAACAGCAGGTGAGGAGAGACCTCCTGGTGTCCCTTCCCACCTGAATGATTTGATTTGGGTTGCATGGTGCAAATGCGTCCACCTCTGTACCGTGGTCTTTTGCATACTGTGTACATGCTGTTAAGTTAGCAGCATCATTATTCCATCTGCTGCAGAACTAAGTAAGAGGCCAGGATCTTTTAGATTACTAACTTTTTTCTGGACTTTGAAAACGGTCATGCCTTTTCCATGTAACTCCCAGAGTTCTGGATTCTCAAGCAGAAAAGGAATGAGACAGGCATTCTCACTCTGAAGTCCAAAGCTCCTGCATCCAGTATCAACACATGGGCTTTTCATAGGGCCAAATATCAATTACATCCAGGGCCATGAAAAGTGGAGGATTTTTTTCACACACCCCTTCTTCCACCCATAACCATGAGCTGCTTTATTCCTCCCCCATTCTGCTACATTGGCACCAACCTGACATAAGACAACATTCAGCTGTAACTGCTTCATGAAATGCATGCAAGAATTCCTACACAACTTGAATTTTTTCCTTTATTGGGTATGAAAACTGGACCTCCCTTCCTTTACATGAGATGCTAAGCACGCTGCGCTGGAATGGATGCCGAATGTGAAGTTCAGCAGGTACTCCAGCCGCAATGCTGCACTCCCGCAGGTCCCTCCAGATATTTTGCTGCTACAGCGAGCTCGACTAAAACCTTCAACAGGACCTTATTTCCCAATTTTAAAAACCAGACCTTTGGGTCAAACGGCCGTCCGGTGTTCTGTCAGCACCCAACACAAACCTGCTTTTTGGGATACCTCGAGGGGAGAAGGAAGGCCGCGACGCCGCTCTTCTCCTGCCCGCCTCGGGTAAGGGGCTGAGCGCCCGAACCCTTCCCTGCGGCACCTTCACCCAGTTCCCCCACCGCACCCTCGAGACTCGTCGCCGCCGCGAGACAAGGGCGAGCCGGGGGCGCCACCGCCCACCGGGGACTGAGGAGAGCGAGGCGGAGCAGGGCAGCCACCATCCCCTCCCCTCGCCTCGCCACACGGGATCCACACACACCTCCCGGCGGCGCGGCGGGACTGGGCGGCTACCGCTTCTCCCGGCCTGGTTACCAAGCACCGCGACGCCACTCCTCCCACGGCGGGCGTTTGCCGGCGGAGGTCCCGACGCTGCCCGGCCCGCGGCGGACGGTTACCGGTGGTTACCGGCGGCGGTCCCGGCACTGCCCGGCCCGCGGCGGGCGGTTACCAGTGGCGGGAGTGGGAGCCGGAGCCAGGCCCGGCCCCTCGTCCCGGCGCATCCCCGGCCGCGCACGCGCACGGCGCTCCTGGGGATGCGGGAGCAGGTGCGGGAGCTCGTGCCGCACCTCGTGGCGTGCCGCGCCGCGCCGCGCCGGCCAATCACAGCGGTGCGCGCGCACCCCGGCGCAGCCGAGCGGAGCCGCCGCGGAGCGTGTGGGGGCGCGGGAGATGGGCAGCCAGCTGCGCCAATCGGAGGTGCCCGAACTAAGGCGAGAGCCAATGCGCGGTGATTGCGGCTGCCGGCCTCAGCTAATCGCCCGCCGCCTCTGGCCGGCGCCGCCCCTCGCCATTCGGCGCCGTTGAGGGAGGCGTTGTTGGTATGGCCGCGGTCCGCGGGACGGGACGGGACGGCGCCTATCGGCCGTCGCCCTGCCCCACACGCCTGCAGCCAGGGAGCCGCCAGGATAAAGAATTTCCCAACCTGTAACCTCGAATTAACGAAACCCTTAGTTACAGTTGGACACTCACCCTTACGCTTGAACATACGTGCCGCGATGCCGAGCGAAATAAAAACATTTTAAATTAGTTACTAAAGCCAAGTTCATATCTGCCTCTTGTACTGAAGACAAGTGTTGGCATGTGCTTTGCAAAAGTCCCTAAAAAGATTTAAGACGAGAATGGAGACACATAATTCAGAGAATTTCATAACTGTGCTTCAGTGAAAATCAAAATTGTTTGAATAAAACATTATTAATATTGAACTGTTGAAAGTCGTATGTTTCTTAATTTTAATTAGTTGTTTTCATTAACTGTAAGCAATGCCTGCTTTTAGCCAGCACTAGTTTTCTTCACAGGCTCTTACTGTGATCCTTAAATCAGTGAAACCTTAAGTTTGCTACAACTAACCTAACAAGCTTCAATACAGAGAGCCAAAGGGAACAAAAGATTGGACAACTGGGATCTTAAGTTTGTGGCCCTTCAAGGATATTGAAGTAACCAGAAGACAGAGACAGCATTAATGCCTGAAAATTTGGGAACTTATCATCTGAGAAAAAGATTATAAAAGGAGTAAAAAAAATGGAACAAATTAGCATGAAGAGCATGAAACCAATAGAGGACAGAATACTAATGAATGAAGAGAATTATGTAACTTGGAACCAATGAGCATTAATTCCTTTCTTTGCTAAAAATATATAAATAAGTGAGGAAGTTTTGTATCTGTCCCAGCACGGAAGCTAGAACTGTCAGCTGCACACACCTCTTGGCCAAGAATAAAGTAATGCCTTACTCCCTAACAATAAAAAGGTGAGTGTTGAGTGAGTCTTATTTTTCCCGATGTTTTCAGAGGATTTTGGTAACAGAACTAGCTTGAAAATTGTGGTTTCTTACCACGCAGACATTTAACATGATTTAGTAAAATGAGCCTGAGGTAGACCTCATTTTTGAGACTTATGTTTTAAACCACATGAAATTACTGAAGTAAAATTCCCCACTCAGTGAGCCTGGTGATCTGGTTTGTAATGTGGAAACTCTTTTCGGAGTTATTTTTTTCACTTACGGTTTACAACCTTTGGTTTTGTAAGTGACAATCACAATGCCTAGACTTCAAAAGCAGTCACTCATAAAGTTAGAGGAAGTTCCTTATTCCCTGGACCTGAACTGATGCCTTCCTGTGGGAAGGCTTCTATTCAGCCTTTGATCTGGCCTCACAGCCAAGGAGTGGGAAGGTTCAGTGCACAGATTACTACATGGAAGACCACAGGTAAGACCTTGCTTGCAAGGTGGAAAGGAAGCTGCAGGTGTTCCGTAACCACTCCTTGTGAGCAAACCCCTCTCATTCACTCGCTGGTGATGGCTGTTGCCAATAGCACACAGTTTCAGCATTCAGTTGTTGCTGAAGTATTCTTCCACTGCACTCCCTTGTCGTAAACTTCCTGGGGCTGGAATACTTGCTTTTCCTCTATTGCTTCTTCAGTGAAAATCCAGAATTCCTCTTAGGAGGTTCCTTTGATTTTATAGTGGAGCTGTGGTTCTGTAGACTGTGCAAGAAACCTCTGCTCTTGTGAAAGCACGGGGAAGAATTAATGGTTCTTGTGAAGCATTAATTATTTGCAACATCAGATAAAACCTCATTTACATCAGAGTGATGAGAAGGGTATTCTCTGATTTACAGTTATGTAAAATATGTAAAAACAGAAACAAGGAATGAAGCACCAAGCTGGAATCACAGAATGGAAAATTTTATTTAGTTCTTTTTTTTTTTAAGTCCAGTCATTTCCTAATACAATTTCAAGTACTCTGATGAGCTTAAAAGTACGCTTCAACAACTAGAGAGAAATCTCATTTCACTGTGAAAATGAGACGTTTTCGTTAAAAAATCTATTATTTTAGCATATTCTACGTTTTCACTGATTTAAATAATTGCTATGGAATTTCTTCCTTAGTGACACTGCCTTGTAACAAGTGAATGTAAGGCACCCTGAGTGCAGACACTACTCCCAACAGTGAATCTGTTGCAGAGAAAGCAATGGCAAAATAAGGTTTTATGTTTTCACTGTAAGTGCTGAGGAACAAAGGTGTTCCCCAGTATACCTCTAAGCATGTTGGATTACTGCACTAATTCTTAACTGGCATTAAATTCCTAACCTAATGAAGGCTGCAATATTTGTTCCAATATATGTATGTACATACTTGTACATGCACATATATATATAGCACCACAGTATATAAACAATCCTGTACATAAAAGTCTAAATAAATAAAGTAAAAAAAACCAAAAAACAATAAACTTCTAAGCAATATTATCAAAATATTAATAGAGGTTGTCATTGGAAAAAACACTCTTCTGAACTGTTTTGATGTAAAAAATTAATTCCATCTCATTCTAAAGGAAAAACACTGTGGCATTAGGAATACAACTCTACATTAATGTAACCCATTCAATACAAATCCACATATTGCAGTTTATTTCCTACTGTCAGGATGCAATGCCTGTGCAGGGGAATGAGGGTGCAGTCGTGCTTCATGTGCTAAGGAAGTGATTCCAGAATTCTGACCATTAACAGGTAGATGTCCAAGGTAGATTGTCATTTCCCAAAAACTTTTCAAATGAGACTACTGTGGTTTACTCTTTATTTTCAAATTTATGTTGAATTTGAACTTGTGGCAAGGACTGAAATATCAGTGCACGCTGATTATCTAATTCCAGGATCCAAAATTTTATTTAAATAGATTTTCTTTTTACAAAAATATAGTTACACATAATACTCTTCTTTCCTGTAATTAATTCAATGCACAATTCACTGAGAAGTTTTACAATCTTCCAAAAAAACCTATTTAAGCTTCAAGTTATTCAAATGATAATTTGTAGGCAATTTTCATTTTAAAAAATATTGAACATAACATGCTACATTAAGGCTGAAACACATTTATATTAAGTTTGAGATCAATTTTCATAACATTAAATTGTTCCTTTGAACTACTTTAAATACTTGCATGAATATTGACAACTTTTCCTTCAGTTCTAATTTCCCTGCAAAATTGACCAGAGTTTTTAATGGAGTTGAACGCCGTGTCCTTAATATTTTTCAAAAATGTCTGTTATTTTTAATTCTGGTGAAACTTCTTCTTTATGCTTTAGTCCCTGAGGCAGGCTGTAATGCCTTATCAATTGTTTGTAATAATATCTATTTAATGTTGCCAAACTAAGGTGAGATTTTTATATATGACATATTATGCAAGAACATTTTCTAGAAATTACTAACATTCTTTTCATATACCTTGTCATATAAAGATCTAAGATGTATCTCAACTCTTTCCTAATACATAGTATTAATAACTAAATGGGTATGGAATTGATCTTTTGACCCAGTATTTTTGTTTTGTTTTGTTTTTTGATTTGTTTTGTTTTGTTTTAGTCAGCCTTGTTTTCAAGAAATACAAAACAAGTGACACATCAAAAAGGTATATTTTTCAGTTTTCAGATGTCTTGATAAGTACCTGGAAAAAAACAAAGTGTATTATTTTCTAAAATCTGTAGGAGCTTTGCCTACGACATTAATTTTTTCCCTTCTTCCAGCTATGGCTACGGTTCTGTTGAGGTGAACTCTCTGTGTTTGGAGACACAAGGTTTGACTCCATTTCAGAAGGCTGATTTATTATGTTATATATTATACTAAAATACTACATTAAAACTATACTAAAAGAACAGAGAGAAAAGAAAGGCTACAAAGAATAGGAATAGAATAGAATGCATAACAAAATCTTGTGACTGCTCACAGCCTTGGCACAGGTGGCTGTGATTGGTCATCAATTGAAAACAATCCACATGGACCAATGGAAGATGCATCTGTTGCATTCCACAGCAGCAGATAGTTATTGTTTACATCTCTTTCCTGAGGCTCCCAGCTCCTCAGGAGGGAAAAAATCCTAGCAAAGGATTTTTAATAAAATATCATAGCTATAGGTTTAAGGCTGTAGTAATGCTCTTCAGTGACTTCTGCTGAGAATTTCTATTTATGACTTACTGACATTTAAAAACTTGGGAAAAACTTGGAAGAACTAAAAAATCAGAGGCTCATCTGAAAATGTTGATATAATGTAATTAATATCGAAGATGGTGAGTGAAAAGATCTTTGTTTGTCAAAACCCAAGTCCTAGCAACTACAGTTACAGCACTGCAAAAGTGGAGAATCATCCCATTTGAGCATTTCCAGCACTTTCAATGAAGTACGTTTAATTTCTCTCCTGAAAATAATTAACGTAATTCTTCACCTGTCTTTTTTCACTCAAAATTCTATTCAAAATTAAATAAGACAAATGATTACCAATAGTATACAATTGGAAGAAGCAAAATTTGTTTAATAATGAATAATAAAAATGCTTCTATTGACATGCTTACCTCACTCAGTATTGCCCAGACTGGAGAATCAGAGCTGACTGATAAACGAATAGCCTTTATTCTTCCTATTGCCTGATTGATGCTGCCTTCTGCAGTGCCATTTTCAAAAGCCCCTTAAGAAATCCACAAGACCCATGTGAACATTTATTAGAATGAAAGAACTTCCAAGCAAACTTTGTGAAAAAGCTCTTAATTACAAACTATAAATTAAATCCAAGAATACGTTAGGGAAAAAAATGTTTTGGAAAAGACTTGTGGGTTGAAATAAGGACAAGGAGAGATCAATCAGTCACAAATTACTGTCATGGGCAAGCCAGACTTGACTTGGGAAAAAAAAAAAAATTATTCATATCAGAGTAGGGTAATGAGAAATAAAACCAAATCTTAAGAACACCTTCCCCCAGCCCTTCCTTCTTCTTGCGCTAAACTTTACTCTTGATTTTCTTTACCTCCTTACCCCCAGGTATGCAGGGGGACAGGGAACGGGGATCATGGTCAGTTCATCGCGTGTTTCTCTGTTGCTCCTTCCTCCTTAGGGGAATCAGAAAGGCATCCTCCCCTCCTTCATCACTGACCTTGGTGTCTGCAGAGTTTTTTCTCTTATGTGTTCACCCTCCTCTCTCCAGCTGCAATTGTTGATACACAGAGCTTTTCTGCCCCCTTTTTAAAATGTGTTATCCCACAATGGATAACACCTCCCATCACTGATGGATTCAGCCTTGGGCAGTTTTAGGTTTGTCCTGGAGCTGGCTGCCACTGGCTCCACTGGACAAAAGGGAAGCTTCTGGCAGCTTTTCACTGAAGCTACCCCTGTAGATTCCCCCCAGCCCCCGGCCCAGCTACCAAAACCTTGCCATGCAGACCCTTTAGGGACTGTAATTAGTTCACCTTCTAATTAGATGTCTTGGCTTTTGCCATTGGTGATAGGAGTGTCAAAATAGGAGAGTCATTGGTCAAACACCATACACTACAATACGCAGTAATGCAATGGGTTTCTTTTCCTTACTAGTTCACCTTGTAAAGTTGAATTTATCAAAGAGTTAATTAAATCATTAAGAGCAGAAACATTTGATATGTAGGAACAAAATTACTGTTTTTTAAGTAACAATAAATAATTTACCTATTTTTAAATATCCATCTTTGGTTGCTGGATAGTTAAATTTACTTCCATTATCAACCAATTCTTTTCTTAGCGTTTCCTATAAAAAATAAAACAATAACATTTCAAGAAGTATTTTCTAGGGTATGACATTTTATGCTGAATATAATTCTGATAATGAAATATGGTTCTAAATGAGAGACTTACATCAGCTGGCAATACTTCCACAGTAGTGTTAAACAGTTTATCACCAGGGTGCTCCATGTTTCCACTTCTGAACAAGTACCTGATGATAAAGGTGTATTATTTCCAGGTATTTTATACTTCAGAAGAGTTCTAGGGAAGTAATTCTTTCCAGTTTTGAAGGAAAGTTTCAGATACCTTTTCTTTTTATATTTTGGGCTATAGAAAACAGAAATGGGCCTTGAAACTATAAACCAAACCATAATATAGTATTTTTATTTTAAACAGACCAAATAATTAAACCACCTTTCTCTGGGACCACAAAGGCAAGTGTTCCCCCTTTTTAGTGCTCAAGTTCCAAATAAATTAACTACTCATGTTTAAATGGCTAAGGAAGATCTGCCCTCTGCTCTGTTCCTTTATTTGTAAGGCTGAAGTGGAATGGCCTTCTGGAAGGTGAGTGGCAGCAAAAATTTCTGTTTCTACTAGGCCATATACTACATGCCAGGAGAATTCCCCTTTTTTATCAATACTCGTCAACTCAGGTGCTTCTAAAGAATTTCCTTTATAGCCAGTAAGCAAGAACATTGACCAAACAACAGTCCAAGCAAAAACATATAAGAATAAAAATCCCTGTTTGGTTGTAAATTTCTGCCATTAAGAGTTCTTAGGGTTTTAGATTCAAAAAGAACTAGAAGAATTTAAATCATCAAACTCTCTCCTGTGATATCAAATATTCAAAGCTTAAACCCACCAAATATTATAGGATTTACCATATATTTTCACAGACTAGCAACGTAATGGGGCTGGGACTGATGCCTTAAGTTTTAACCTTCATATTCTCCAGATTTTGTACTGCATTAGTATATAACTCTGAACTTCATATAAAGTGTTAGCAAGTTCTCCTCACAGTTTAGTTAGACAAAACAATCCTTTTCCAGCCTGAGAACCAAGTTGCAGTTTCAGGCCCAAAAAGTATAAACAACAGCGAATTGAGGCGAGCAATCTGGGAGGATGGGACTTCAGAACCTGAAGCTGTAATTAAACAATTAACCCCAATATGAAAATGGACCAAAACTTATAAAAATGTGAAAACTCATGATCCATCGTCCATCTTGGGTGTAGTTTTGGCCAGGCTCATGTACTGCCCAAGGTACTGTCCTTTGAAGGCCTTTTAATAAATACCTACTTTATTCCTTTAACCCTGTCTAGCCTCTGTTCCAGGTAGCCTCTCAAGGTGTCAGGACCAGCCATTAGACAATACCATATGTAAGTGAGCTTCATCCAAGGCAGCTTCACAATAACAGGAACATGCAAAACTACAACGTATCCAGGTTTCATAAAGCATGAACCAGTTAATTAATACAGGACAACAGTGTTAATTGTAACAACTGTCATTCACTGCAGCTCACTAGGTGGAGATACAGACTTGACATCGTGCAAGCATCCTTTCTGTTGGCAACTACACAAATAAAGCTTTCACTGACACCAATGATGAAAGTCATCAGTTAAAAACAAATTCCTTTGAGAATTATCATGTAAAATATTTACCTGAAGAAATAAAAGAAAAAAAAAATAAGAAGCTAACTACTGATGAAGACGTGTATTTCAGGAGGAGGAGCTCAAGAGCAGATAAACAGCAAATCATGCATTTTTTTAGTAACAAGGTTTGTGCAAACAGTTGAGCACCAATAACTTCAAATGGACTCAAGCATTTCCAAACTGGGTATATGTAGGCTTCCATGTTCCATATCATGTAATACTTACTTTTCAACTTCTAGTGGATTTAAAAATGTGAACCTGATGAAGTCACCTGCCACTGGAGTTAAAGCCCAAAAACAGTCCTGTCCTTTATAAACTTTTTCCAAGGTATATTGCTGGTATATTCTTAGGCTTGTGTCCACTTTTGCAGGTGGATTATTATGTGCTTTATGTAGCACATTTTTTCCGAAATCTTTATCCTGTTGATATAAAGAAATGTAATTTCACTCATACAATGGAAAAAAAGTGCATTGATATCTGTAATTAGTACAGGAAGCTATTCCAGAAAATAATCACCTCAGTGTCAAAAAATACACCAACTATTTTTAATACATATAGAATATTTATTTCAGTGTAATCACTGGGACTCAATGTCACAATTTGTATACAGAGCTGTACTGATTGTTTCTTAGCTGCCAAGATTTAAAAATAAAAATCTTCACAGGAGGCCGTTTCATAGTTGTCTAGGATGCCTTCTGCCAGAACATGTGATTGCTGGGCTCTGCTAAAGGCAACGTGAATCTCTGGTCTGATCCAATTGAGAAATCTTGTCGCTAGTCTAGATGGCACCATCAGGAGATTCCTCAAGTCTGGTTCATCATTGCTCATGTGCTTATTAGATGTGTGGTTTGCCCTCCAAACTCTCCCTAAAAATCTGTGACCATCAAGTTAGGCACACCTTTGTCCTACTTTCTTAATTGTCGCTCATATTAGGAATGTGAACTGCTCAGTCAAAACAAATTGTCATGGCTTTGTTAGCATGGAGCAGAGCATCTGAAACTTTCTGTTGTGAAGGGGGTTCCTACATGCCATGAAATGCTGTTCAGATGAGAGATTCAAAGGTATTTGTGCAGGAGCAGTACTCCTCCTGCAGCTTAGATGCCAGATCAAAATTCTCTTATCAAATCTGTAGAACAACATAATTAGATCTTGATATGCCATATAATGCCAAAGATGTGGTCCTTGAAATTCATTTGAGAAATAAGTTAGAACACAAGCATATAATGTAAAAATATTGCATTAATTTCTTAATCTTACTTTCAAATTCTGTATCTTCCCAGCCAATGATGAAAAAATTCCCATATGCTGAAAGAGAGATGGTTTAGCACGGATACGTAACTTTGACTTTTCCTTTTCACAGTGTGTCTAGAAAGAAAGTAAAAGGGAGTGAAAGATTATTTAACCAAGGAGAGACAAACTGTGTTCCATAGGGCAATTTCATTATGTAGGTCAGGGTATGGGTTCAGATTTTCTATCCATATTTAAATGAGTAATCCTTAAATTAACAGTCACCTTCTGTCACATACACTGTTTCTAGACCAAATCTCATAATTTCACTCATGCTGTTACTTAGATTTGAAGGCTCAATCACCAGTAATTTAGGGATTTCTGCACAGTATGTGATTAATCATTCTCAGGGTGACAAAAATGGACTCAAATCTGAAACTGATTGATTTCTTAGCTGTTTCTGGCAAACTTTATTTCAACTCTTAGTCTTCCCATATCATTCTAATTAAACTATTTTGACCAAAACTGACCTTCTTAAGATGGATTCTGGTTACATTTCAATACTCATAATTTTGCCTCTTTCTGTTGTGTTTGGGAGGCTTTAATGTATAATAAGTTATGGATCTTTTATCACATAATTAGATATTAAATACTTAATACTGTTAAATACTGTTTCAACCACTATTTTCTGGTTTACTACACCTGGGACATGACATATATCAAGGAATTTAATAACTATAATTGGTACTAATTTTGTATTTTCTTGGTCTTTGAATGATAGCAAACTACTTCTTTAAATGTAATTTTTTTCTTTGTATATATAGAGCATTGTAGTTTGATACAATCACACAATCATGCCACTGTAATTAATATGACAATAAAGCATAGTGGGAAGGAACAAAGCAAAGAGCTAATATGAGGCTCTCTGGGTTGTACTCTTGGTGCTGCCACAGAATTATTATATGATTTTGGAAGATAATTTAACTTTTCTGTATTCCAGGTCTCAGACCTTAAAATTTGAGAGGATAATGTGCTTACCTGTTCCATCAAGTGCTTTCAGTTCTATAAAAGAAAAATGTTACATTAAATATATCAATGCCTTCTAAAGCCAGAAGTGATTAAGTCTTCACTCAACTGGCTTAAAACCATCAAAACTCATGAGGGATTTATGATTTCCACAGGAATTCTAATTAAAAGTTCAAAATGCCCTGGAAAGCGATTAAAAAAACTAAGGTGGTTTTTTTTTTTTGTTTGTTTGTTTGTTTTTTGGTTTTTTTTTGTCCACAGCAGATGTTCAGCAAAACAATGTAAAACCACAATACATTGTGTGTAAATTGATTTACTGTCAACTGTTTCTCTGAAAGGCATACTAGACTTCAATAAAGAAGAAATATTTTTAAGAAAATAAATTTGTGATCTTTCTACTGACAGGGTTTGAAATTCATCCCCTGCCATAATGCAGGCTCTAGAAGTCTTGTTTTATTCAATGGCAGCACTACCAAAGAGCTGCTTCTGGCAGCAGCTGAGAATAATCAGTGTCATGAAGCTGGTGTGGTCATTTCTGCAGAAGCTGAGATAAGGCTGCTTGTTGAGTCAGGGCTCCCACCCTTTCAGCCTGCAGTTCCCACTGAATGTGATAGGCACAGGCCACTGCACAAAAACACAGAATGGTTGGGTTCAAAGCAACCTGTAAGGATCATCTTGCTCTGACTCCCCATGGACAGGTTTCCACTAAACCAGGTTGCTCAGAGCCCCATCCAGCCTGGTCAGAAACACTGGATGTGGCATGTATACCTTTCCTGGGCAACCCGTTCCAGTGACTCACCACCCTAACCATAAAAAATGTTTTCCTTATATCCAATCTAAATATACTTTTTCCAGTTTAGGATTCTTGCCCCTTGTCTTGTCATAACACACTCTTTCCTACAAGCTCCCTTTAGATATTGGAAGGTGCTATATGGTCTCCCCTGAAGCCTTCTCTTCTTCAAGCTGAAGAGCTCTGACTCTTTCAGCCTGTCTCCAGCCCTGTGATCATTTCTGTGGCCTCTCTGCCTGCTCTAACAGGTCCATAGCTTTTTTTTTTTTTTTTTTTTTTTTGTACTGGGGGCCCCAGCAGTGAATGATGGTTCACAGGAGGCAAGCATGAAAAAGTTTCTAACCATGCAGAGATCTGATGGCTCTGATCATCACAAACTGTCTCAGCGAGCAAATGTAGCTGAACCTTGATATGTTAATAGTCAGTCCAGGCTGAAAATTTTAACAAGGTTGAGAAGTGGGCCCATGGGAATATCACAAGGTTTAACAAGACCAAATGCAAGGTGCTGCACTGAGTCAGAGCAACCTCCAGTATCAGTCCAGGCTGGGGGATGGACAGATTGAGGGCAGCCCTGCCCAGGACTTGGGGGTGCTGGTGGAGGAGAGGCTGGTGACCCAACCTGCACTTAGTCCAGAGAGCCAAACATGTCCTGGGCTCATGCAGAGCACTGTGGACAGCAGGGGAGGGAGGGGATTTTGTCCCTCTGCTCTGCTCTGGTGAGAGCCCACCTGTAGTGCTGCATCCAGCTTGGGGTTTCCATCACAGGAAGGACATGGACCTGTCTTGTTGAATCCAGAGGAGTCCATCAAGGTGATCAGATGGCTGGAGCACCCCTCCTATGAGGAAAGGCTGAGATAATTGAGATTGTTCAGCTTGGAGAAAGGAAGCCTTTAGGAATTGCAGCCTTTCAGTACCTGAAGGGATCCTGAAAGGAACACAGAGAGAGGCTTTTCACAAGAGCCTGGGGTGACAGGACAGGAAGAAATGGATTCCAGCTAAAAGAGAGTAGGTTCAGATTAGCTGTTAGGAGAAAGTTCTTTCCTGTGAGGATGGTGAGGCACAGAAACAGGTTGTCCAGAGAAGCTGTGGATACCCCACCCCTGGAGATGTTCAAGGCCAGGTTGGATGGGGCTCTGAGCAATCTAGTGGTATGTGTCCCTGCCCATAGCAGGGGGTTGGAATGGAATGATCTTCCAGGTCTTTTCCAACCCAAACAATTCTGTGATTCTACATAAACACATGCCAAACTTCCTTCACCACAGGATGTCACAAAGAAAACACAAACAAGTGCTCTGCTGACCCTCCTGTGTAGCACAGTGTGTGATTACTTTGTGACACTCTTGGTTGGAAAGGAGAAAGAGTGAGGAGCTCTCAGCTCGCCTTCTCTGATGCCTATAGGAAAAGTTCAGTGCTGTAACCTATCAAACAGAGAAGGTACCACAGCTGGGATCCCCAGCCTTGTGCCAGTCTCCATTTTCTGCATTCTCATAAATAGTCTCAGCAGGTCATGCCACTGGTTATTCCCACCCAAGAGCCATGTGAGACTGATTTGTCTCAGTAGGTTTTCTCTACTCACAGCAATTGAAATTGCAAATGCAGAAGTGAAACTCAGTAGAAAGCTGGGGGCACCACTCTGCTTTTGCTTGATCAGAGCAGACTTCCACAAGCTACCTGCCTGCCTTTTGGGAACACAGCTTCATTTTAGGTAGGAATCAGGTCTTAGAAGATGGAACAGCCGTAAATGAAGTATTTAATCTATTGGATGGAAGTTGGCACATGTTAGATCTGGAATAGGTGATGTCAATATAATAGCATTCTGTTTTTTAATCTGTTTTCACAGGCAGGCAAGAACTGAAATTAGTTTCTTGAGGCACACTCTTAACTCCTATGAACTGGCCTAACCCACAGGGCAGGACTTAAAAGCTTGCTCCTATCTGTACAGAGTGGTTCTCCAGTGCACTACTTAGTCTGAAACCAGGAACCTTCTGCTATCCCCAGAAGTCACTTATGCTACAGGGTAAAACTTGAAGCTTGCTTGTTCCGTTCCCCTTAATCTCCTGCTCTGCACAACTCCTGTCTGTTTCTTCTTGGTCCTTTATCAACACAAAAGTAAAACATGCAAATCCTGGAGCAGAAATTGGCTGCACCAGTTAAAACTCCTGAATCCTAAAGCTCAAGAAGCAGAAACTCTGGTCAGTCCAAAGTAAGTCTAGTTTGAGAGATTTATATTCCACTTTTTGAAAATGAATTTTGTCACTGAGAGTGTTTGAATGTTATTTATCTTTGTAAACTCACAGTTATACTTACTGCATCCTTTTCTGGATTGCACACTTTAACCCAGAGCAGGTGGTCTATAAGCCAGTCTATAGGCTTGTCCTTATAGAACATGAGGAAAAAATCCACTATGAGTGGTAAGTCTTCCGATTTAAACAATTTTCCTGAAAGCAAGACAAGAAGTTATATTTTTATTGCTATGCAGGAATCACCAGCTTTATGTTTAAATGTAATTTATTTAAATAAACATTTAAGTATCACACCAGCCTTGCACACATGAATGGAATTATGATGTTTAATGAAAAACTTCACATAGAGTCTGGCTTTGAAGAGTTGCTCATCATCCACCCCTATGATATGGGATGTGTATTCTCCTCCACAAAGAAAAGGAAGTTTTGGGGTTTTTTTTATAGATTGTTCAAATTCTGTTCTTGAAAAGAGAACTACACATTACAGGGGCACATAGTTCCCTGAGAGGGAAAAATTTCCTCCTTATGGGAACTCAATTATAGATTCTGTGCTGAAGAGACTCTGTATTAACCAGACAGTTTTAAAGAGAACAAAAAGTAAACTACTTTCAGTGAGCTATTTCCTGAAGAACCAAGGAAGTTTTGATATGCAACTTCTTCCATGCTTTGTGACGTGATTCTGACTGAGACCTTTTTGATCTACATAGCTCCAATGCAGTGGATCTTGCTGAGGTCTTAATACTTACCAATAAATCCAAGTTGTGAGAACTCGAGAACCATCCAATCTTGGGACTGTTGAGCAGCAAAGCTTTTTATACTTTCAATAAAATCAGGTTTGGCTATAATATCATCTTCCAGCTGGGGTGGGGGGGGGGGGAATGCAACAGAAAAAGAGAAGGCAAGCAGTGATTTTATTGTTCACAGAGGGGGTGGTGACATTGCCACAAGCAAGTGAAAACTGTGTTGTGTTTATGCTGTACCACATGTAATGAAGCTGTGCCAAACAATCCGCAAGTGGATTGGTATTTAGTTTCTACATATATCTCTGGTTTTGTATCACTCATTAAGTAATTATCTATAGGAGTGACCATAACACCATGGGTGCTTCTCTCTATTATGATGAAGGAGGACTCCCTGCCTTAGAGATCTCACTTAGAAGAAAACATTAAGCAAAAAGACAAGAGGTTAAGGAAGACAACAATAAGCAGTTTGTTCTTAGGTTGTATAAGCATTGCTAAACTAGAGGAGCAAACTGTCTGAGAGGAAAGGTGTCTAAAAGCTCCAGTAGCCTGGGCAGACTTTGTCATTCAAACAAGGCGACTGAGAAGGAATGTGGATGATTACTGAGATGCCTGTAGAAACCAGGTTGTCCCAGGGGATACTGGAAATTATGGGGTATGCTCTGTGAATCACACTGAAGGACAGGGATACATAGAGTTTTCAAGATGTTGTAAAGTCCAGCACAGAGTACAGCAGTAGAGTCACTTAAAGGGTACTTGGAAGAGGAGACCGATACCCATCAAGGAAATTAGAAAGGTATTGGCTTCATTTTTTGCCTGGCTTTCAGACAAGAACTGGGCATCTGAAAAGCCAGAAGCTGTTTGTGCTACTAAAACTGAGGTTTATGAACCCAGACAAGGAGATTGGAGGCAATGACACAAAGGAAATAAATGTATTCCAGAAATAATTTAGGAGCGAGTAATTAATGGTTTGAATTCAGTATGGGTGTGAAAATACAGAAAGAGGAGGCTAAGACTTCAGGAAAATATTGCTGGGGTGTAGTGTAATCACATAGTAATTTATTCTAACTGCTGTACTTCACTGGCCCTGCTGTGTGTCTGATTGTGCTGGAACTGGCTTCAGAAAACTAAACAGCTAGAAAATTAATCCTTTGAGGAAAAAAACCCAGCCAAACAAAACATGATTTCCTGCTGGTTTTGGGTCTTCAACTGATTCAGCAGGGTCATCATCAAGAGTTTGAAAGATCAGGCCCAGATGTTTTAGCTGAATTTCTGCACTGCTACAAGTGTAGGGCTGGCTGACAAGAAATGTGTTGGCAATAGTGAACCCAGGAATAAGTAGAATGAAGTTAGAAAAATGAGATTAAGAGATCTGTTTTGACCCTGTCAGCTTTTGCTGATGGTAAGATAAAAAATGCACAGATAGAGACAAACTGATCAAGATTAATGTTTCTTAACAGATTCTGAGATCTGGGGATTGAGCTGAGTTGAGAGTTAAGCAGAAGAGAACAACGAAAAAAACCCAAACCCAAACATCAATTTACAAGAAATCTGGCATAAAATTAAATGAGCTCAAAGCATTAGCCTGGAGCAAGATGTAAAGGGACAAGAGCAAAGAATCAAAGAAGGTTTTAGAGAATCCTTAAAGAGAAATTGAGGGGCACCAAAAAAGGATGAAAAGCAGACTGGAGTATCTCAAAAACCTAGGGAGGCCACCATATTGAGAAACACCATAGAAAAGTATGCAAAACCAGTGAAGATTGAAAACACAGAGGTTGTGATGCAAAGTGACTGTGAATGTGGTTATGAACAGAAAGTAATTTTGAAGTCTTAGATGGTCTTTCCTGAAGCTGACTGTGATTATTAGAGGATGTAGTTTGATATCCCATGTAGCACAAGCCATTAAAGTTATTTATTTAACCCTGTAATTTGTGTTCAACTTAAGCACATCTTGAAGAAACTCTCTCATTGCTTAGAGATTCCAGTATCCTTTTTTTTCAGTATGTTGTACAACATTTTATTATCCTGAATATTTAGTACTTTGTACCCAAATTCTAATTTGATTTTTTTTCCTGCCTTCAGCTTACAGCCACTTGTTTTCTCATATGCTCTTATCTACCAAAGGAGGTTGTGCAGCTGCACACAGCTGGATCAGGAAATTTAAGATATTAACTGCCTAGTCCACTTGCCCCATTGCCAAGGCCAGCAAAACAGATAATCACAGCTAACTTCCCTTCTCTCATCAGTGCTTTTGAATGAAAAAATACACATCCACTACAGCAAGACTATGAAAATTTACTACATGAGAGGTACCAAATGGGTTTCCTTTCATTTTTCTTATGCAGGTTGTCTGTATAAGAGAAGTAAAAATGAAGTAGTAACAAAAAGTGGAAGAATACAATGAAAGTTCAGGCATCAGACAGGAAGGTTCTTCCTTCCTGAATTTTATTAGAGTATTTTTATATTTTGTCTCACTAACAATGAATTGTGAAAACTGTGGAGCTCCTTTTAGGAGCTCTACCAAATAGCAGGCACAACCTAGAGTCTAGTGAGAAGAAGAAAAAAATAAGTCCATATAAAGAGTACTAGTGATCTCACTGAGATATTGCTCAGGTTTTAAATCCATTAGAGACGTGCTGCTGGCAATATATATTACTAGTGTATATATATATATCTAATATATAAATACACAAAGTTTTCCCAGCCTCCATACGAGGTAATAAAAAAATTGTAGCAGTAGTTCAGGAAACAACTACAAGTTAAGTTAGAACTTGATAAGAGATTTTATCTGAAGAACCTAAGATTTATTTAATGGTTTATTTTTGTTTCATCTCTGTGCTAATAGAAAACACTTAAAAACTGCTGTATCTGTGTTTCTTTCAGATTTGAAATGTTTGATTCCTGCAGTGAACTAAGTTCACATGGACAAGAAATAACTAATGCATGTCCTCACTATTAGGCTGGGATTGGATTGCCTGCTTTTATGGCTATGTTATGATCCCATTACTGTAAGTGCTTCAAGGGTCTCTGGTGAATGCCAGGAGGTTTAGTGAAAGTGGAAACAAGGACCCCAAAGTTCTCTCGGGGTGGCGGGGTGGGGAAAAGATTTAAGTAGATAAGTTGATCAGTGGGTAATCAGTGGCTAAGGTTCATCCCCAGTGTATGCCTGTTAGCTTCAATGGACTTCACAAAAAGACTTACTTAAATCCTGGTTCAGCACGATCCTAGAACAAGTGTTTATTCAGCAAAGGTCTTGTCTGACTCATGACATCAACTGTTCTGTAGACGTCAAGACTAATTATGTGTGCATATCTTCTTTCAAGGTTTGGGAGTTAGTGTCAGCCACTCAATCAATACTATTCATGACTAAACTAAATAAAAATCTAACCTAGCTCAAGTTTTGCTTAAGCTTACTGAAGTAAATATTGTACCAGTCTAAGGAAAAGTAGTTTTAAGTTGTTTGCTTTCCTTTAATACAAGACTTCCAAATAGAGGGAGGACATAACAAAGTTTATGGCAGCAAGTGTTCATTCTTTACACCTGCACTCTACAGAGTAGCTTTTGGGCAGACCAGCATCTGTGCTACAGGAACAGCTGCAGGCTGGTCATACAAATGAAGAATGGGATATAGTAGGAACGCTATGAGGAATGGTATGAGGAAAGTATAGTTTCTTTTTAAGAAAATTCCAAAAGCAAGCATAACTCCCACCAGACCAGCACCATCCAGGCTTTGTTCTTAATAACACAGTTCAGTTGTTTTATAATGTCTCAGATAAGAAAACACATGTTCTCAAATTCCTTTAGAAATACAAATACATAAGTCATTGTGGTACAAATATGAATCCTTGGAGAACTTGGTAATAGGAAGGGACATCAAGTGTCTGGCAGCATCCTAACGTTTCACTTCACTGGGTTTCGTACACCTTGATGCTCTAGTGCACTCAGTAAACTTGTATAATGTTCTTAAAAATATACAAAAGCCACAGGATAATACTTTATTTTCCATTAAATTGTTCAAAACATGGTATTTTTGTTTGTCCATCTGCATCCTGAGCACCTATGCCACATTTGAGAACAGAGCATGGGGACTCTTAAGTAGCCCAGCTCAAATGTGGTTTTGTTGAATCCTGAGAAAAACGGTAGGAGATGCCAGGTCCTGCAGTCTTCTGCTTCCAGGAAACCTGTGATGTCCTTATGGAATACCAACTCTGAGGCAAAATGCTCTCCTGAACTTTTTTTAAAAACTATTTACATTATTGAGCTACGTGAAATTGTATAGACCTGTTCCATGACTGAACAGCTCTCATAAATTTTAGAATCTCTGGTGGTGATTAAGATCTTTATGGAGTGCAAATTAGCACAAATCTAGAATGATGGTTAAAGCTAAGCTTAAATGCATGGGGATCTTCTTAAAGGCTAACACAAAATCTGGAGAATTAAGGATCTGTGCCAACTTGTAGTTGACCTTAACACAAGTATCACTCTACTGGTATTTCCCTGTCTGAAATATTTCACTTAATTGTCCTCTGGGCTATAACCTGAACCTATCACTATTTTTCCTGGCTGCAGTAAGTAAAAAGATACTAAACTCTGACTTTCTTAACCTAATCAAATGAGTGTTTCATGCTTCAGTTACCTTGCTCTTCAGCCTCACAAATGACAGGAAGGCAGAGATGGTTTTAATCAAATAGTACCTTGCTGCAAGATGTAGATAAATACAGAAACATGTGGATGCTTGTAAAGAGCATAGGCAAAATACACCGAAAATAACATAAGATTGCTGATTTTATTAAGGCCTTTGAAATAAAAATTGCCAAAACTAATCATCAGTAGAGGTGTATTGCTGCTACTTAATGATAATATGGACATACCTGTAAATAAAATGTTCCCTTAGGTTGAGCATATAGCATTAAAAAGCTATAATCCAAATTCTGTTTAGTTCTCCACCTAAACATAAGCAGCAAATTCTGATAAGCTTTTTGAGCGGGTTGCAAGAGTTATTTCTATAATAAGAGAACTTTTAATGCTCTGCATTTTTTGTCTCTACAATAAAATTGTAAGGTTGTATATTCTGTATATTCCATTGTTAAGTGCAAAAGGATTCATCTACAATCAATACAAACATTTGTAAATAATTTTAGTTTCCTATAAAAGTTAACATTAAATACACAAAAATAAACATTAAATAAACAAAAAAAAATTATCTCTGTCAATGGAGCTTGAAACAAAATGTCTAACAAGTTATTAATGTCAAATGACTTAAAAGATTCTACTCATTATTTTATGAAGAGTAGAAGTAAAGACACATGGATTATTTAAAGATTAAAAAGTAAATGGTTTTACGTATGAACAGCACAAGAGCAGGTTGATAACTGTAATTTTTGGGTTTAAATATAAACACAAATTATGTACAGTGTCTCATTTTACCAGAGGATGATGACGATGTTTGATAATCAACACTGAAAGACTACAGACTAATTTATCAATATTTAATTATCGTAAACATATAAATGATCCAAATCTAATAATATCTAAAACTAAATTATAAGTATGTAAACTTGTTTATGGTCTATGGTATGAACACATAAGGTTTATCTATAAAGCCAATATACATACACACATATATGTAAATATACTAGCTGATTTCGTCCAGCCTGAACTCCTAGTACTGCAACTCTCTTGCTCCATTGTTGCAGTGGCTTCTGATAAATTAGTTATTGTTGATTAAGAAAATTACTTTCCTCCAATAAATATTTTTTAAGGTTATAATCTCTGTCTTACTGAATTTGGGGCATGGGAGTGAATGAAATCACCATTAAGCGTGTAGTAACAGTGATAAAAACGCAATGATCACCAAAAGTTAGGTCATTAATTAAACCCACAGTAGTTGTCAGTGGTTAGCTAAAGGACCACATTGGCTGTGTGTTCACAGAGACTCTCCCTCATCAGTTACATTAAAAATGTTTCTATTTTTTCCTTTATGACAAATCATATAACCTGTTACTTGTTGGCATTATCCATCTGGTTTAACACCTGTTGGATGCCTAGAGTCAAGACCTAAAGGAGAAGCCTTGGCTTTTATGAAGCTGATGTGCAGCATAGCATTTCTCAAGATCCCCTTTAAATTTTTTTTGCAAGTACAAATGAGGTCCTTTAGCTCTGAAACACAGATATTATCAGTTCAAACAATGCTGACTTTTTCTGAATTTTCCATTTTACACTCTTAGCAAAGGATCTTAGGTTTTATACAGCAATCTTACCTTACTCGGTCCTCAGAATCTCCAAGTGTTTTCTTCAGGTTGGAAAGATCTGGGTAATAGGAAGCAGGAGGAGAAATAACCTCTAGTACTCCAGACTGGACTTCTCTAGGGAAGCTGGGAAGAGAATTCTAGTGAGACCTCGTTCCTCAAAAAGACTTTTGAGGGCAACCAAAGAGAGCAGCTCCCCAAAGTTAGGTCTGCTCCTCCAGAAGTGGAATTCACCACTCTAGCAAAGAAACTGACTGCAAACTTGGAACCAAGAAGGAGCCTTTAACAACCATCAGAACAGACAGGTCAGAAACTCATCCAAGTCTCAGAAAACACTGGAGAGAAGTGTGTCTCAGAAATCCTGTCCCTCCTGCAGCTGTAGATGTTTACTAACAATCCAGAGATAGTTGCCAAAATGCAGCAGTAATTAACAACCAAACACACTACCTAGAACAACACACAACTGTTGTTCTTGCATGAGAGGTCCCAGTTTCCTTACCATTGCTCCAACTCTAATTCTACTTTCTAAGCAAAATTATACTGTCCCACAGCAGGAGTTTAAAATGGGGAGTCTGGGTCTAGTCTCTGCTCCAATAATTAAATTTTCCATTTAAAAAGAGATTGAAAAAATGTGTAACATATTTTGGGAGCCAAACTTGGAAGTCAAATCTCCCTTTCCTCCAAAACCCACAAAACAACCAATCAAAAAATCTAAACAAAAAAACCACCAACCCAACAAAAACAAACAACCAGGCCTCAGGTCCATAAATTGCATAATTTTAAAATCCAAACACAAAACAGGTAGAGTAGTGGTTCCAAAACTGAGTTTCCCATTTCCTATGATTAGTAAACAAAAGATAATACTAAAAATTAAACACATCAGAATACCAGCATTATGGGAAAAAATATCAATCTGACTGTGTAGCCCTGACAAAGCAAATACTCTGCAGTAATTTTTTTCAAAAACCATACAGCAGTAATTAAAATTCTCTGAGTGTTTAAATTGCTGTAGGTATTGTACCCTGGCAGTGCCAAGAAGGAATTGCTGTAGGTATTTTACCCTGGCAGTGCCTCTTCCCCTTGTCCCCTTGTCCTTCCAGCTGAGCTAAATCCTCTGAAGGCAGGAAATGATGAATATTGCTTAGCTAACAGCCTCAGTATGAGTCTTCTGGGGGAAACCCACACACAAAACACAATGTGGGAAACCCTTGAGTGAAGGAGGATATGCAGAAACCCTCAAATGTGGAAGAAAAGGTCAACTCCTCCAGGGATCTTGTTCAAGGAAGATAAGATCAAGCAGAACTGCAGTGGGAACCAAGCTTCCATTTGACATCTCTAGGGTTACTTTGGCAAGGAAAAGACTACCCATCTCATGTTTCCCATCATGTAGTAGCATTTAAGATTATAAATGTAATCCCATCACTGTCCCAAGTCTATTGTCTTCCTGAAAAATAGTAAAAAAAATGGAAACAAAGACGCCTGGGAAAACATGGCTGTGTTATGGCACTAGGGGACATAGTTTAGTGGTGGCAGTGCTGGGCTAATGTTTGAACTCTATTGATCTTACAGGGCTTTTCCAACCTAAGGAATTCTGTGGTTCTATGACAGATGCCAGATTATACTACAGGGTTGTGTAGTCAGTGGGGACCTCATATGTGCAACCTCAGGTGCATAAATTGCATCATTAATTTCGTCGGAAAAAGACTTAGGCTCAAGTAAATATTTATCAGAGATTTAAGCTGAGACCTTGACTGGTTAGTTAAAGCATATTTATCAAATAAGAAATGAAAAATTAATTGATATACATACTTCTGTTCTCAATTTCAGAATGTGTTATGGCATATATAGAGAGTGCACCTTTGTCTCAGTTCCATTTCAGTGTTGAAATGTTCTAGTTCTTTCCATAAAAGCTTCAAATATGTTCACACTGGTGGTTGAGTGTAGGACTTACCTGGTTTTAACACTTTCTGCAACACTCTTAACATACTCTGCATCCACCTAAAGAAAAGAAGGGAGGGTTTCATTAAAAGTCTCTCATTTTTGTATTAAACAACACTTTGTAGGGATTATGTATATGCAAACAATTTCTTTTCCTTCCAAACAAATGTGGTATGTTACAGCAGCATTTCTAGTAAGGAACAGTATGGGCTTTTCAAGCCAACCAAACTTTCAATATTGTTCACTTTTGCTACCAAATATCCCCAGCTGCCATTTCTGGCACTTTGTTTTTCACTGCTTTTGCAGAAGACCAAGCTATTTTCTGGCTAAAATTCTGTTTTGCTATGCCAGTAAAGCACAGCCATATAACTATCAGTAAAAAAAGCTGGTTTGGGTTAATAATTCAAAAATCACAAAAGAGGCCTAAGGCTGATGAGAAAAATCACCTAAGCAAAATATTCTAAAGCCAGCAATACTTAAATTTTTATGCAATTTCTTCCTAATATAACAAACTTACAGCTCTAAGTTTGGAAATTTTGAAGACCTTCATTACTGCTGTTTCATAAAAGTAACAATGTTAGTATGCCAAACATATCTGTTAACTACATTTAGAGTGCAAAGTTTTATTTCTAAAACAACACAATAACTGTCTTAGAAGTTCAGATTTTTTCTTTAAATAAACAAATTGTTTAATATATAATTGTTACCAATTATATGTTAAACTTGTGGTAAGTAAAATAAAAGTGAAATACAGAACTGTGGTAAGAAAAAAAATACCCAGGACTTAAAACTCACTCTCAGTCAATAAGTTACTCAAGCTTAACCCATGATGTAAACATTCACCTTGATCTTTTAAAACTTTGTGGGAAAAAGGAAGGTGTGGATTCATGACCAGTGAACACACCTGTCCTTCTCCCATAATAAAATTTCTTATCACTTCTCATCAGATCAGCATGGATATCTGCTCCAATTTATTGCATGGCTGAAAAAATGGAAGCTGTGAGAACATGACTTTTGAGTTGGGAGAAAAGGGAGAGTAGGTCTTACAATGGCAGTTTAATCCTAAATTGGCTGATATGGACTATTACTAAAACCACAGCTCCTGTTTGTTCAAAGCGTCACATAAGGACTCTCCACAGCGGGAAACTATTCAAAAGTCAACCCTTAAAAACTCACAGAATCCTCTGAAGCCCTGTAATAAGAAGTTTACCTCAATGGCAGCCAGGCAAAGATCATCACTGCCAGGGCTCTTCACTGTGAAATACGAACTGCAAAGTAAGTTCAGCTCCTAAAAACTATGCTGAAGAGGAAGTACAGCCAATAAAATTGGTCCTCTGTACTCATCATTGTGATCCAAACAGAAAACTGGAAGTCATGGCCAAAATTAAAGTGAACTATACTCTGTTTGACACTTTTACACCAGCAAAAGTGATGACTAAATAATAAAAAATAGCAAACTGTAACTGTTAATGAATACATGCATTGATTTAATGCTGTCTATGGAAGAACATAGAAGAATAAATATGAATTCTGAATAATTGCACAGTCATTTTACCTGCTAGAAGCTATTACTAGCTAATTCCTTTCAGCAGCTTTTTTTTTTTTTTTTTTTTTTATATTTTTTTTGTGGTGTTTTTTTTTTTTTTTTTTTTTTTTTTTTTTTTTTTTCTGATGTAATCAATGTATTTTTGAGTGAGGAAAAAAAAACATTTATCTTTAATATCTTACCTTGAGCACTGTTTACTTTCCCAAACAGGCTCAAGGCTCTGAACAGTTTTCTTTTGCATGGGAAATGCCAAAACACATGCGGAAGGCTCCAATATGTGAAGATACTTTGCAAGATACATGTTATCAAACCAGAAGATATATAATTTGAATATTTGTTACACTAAGTTTACTTTCTTCAGGTTCTATGGCACTTTTCTGTGGAGGACTTACATTTCATTCTGGAAGCAGAAAACCTTACTTTCAAAGATGAATAATGAGTTCATATGCTTTTGATGGAAAATCTGATCCATCAGATCAAGGACTGTGTTGGTAAATGTAATAAGAATTTTTACCCTTAGATCATCTGCTTAGCAGGGTTTTTTCCATATATGAACACTGAGGCTCTTTTTCCACATATGAACACTAACTGCTCACCATCTCCTCCAGCCCTGAAGAAATCCCTCCCAAAGGCCAAGCTAGTATTTTGCTAGTACTATTGCAAATAGTGCAAATAGTATTTACAAATAGTATGGCGCAAATAGTATTTGCACTGTATTGCAACAGTATTTTGCACTATTACATTGAGACATAAATCTTCATGTTTTCTTATCAGCATCCTGCATCTTTCCATGCACACTTACCTCTGCTATAAAGATTATTATTATGCAGTCCTTCTTTTGCTCTTCAGATAGTTGGTACAGTAGGGAACGCAATGTACCAATCAGGTAATTTTGTTTTTCCCTTTTCACTGTAGGAATACCCATCACTAGGGAGACTGCAAAGAGAGAATGCCTCAAGCCATGTAACTTAAAGGGAAATTGAAATCACATTTTAATTTTGATTTGATGTGACCATGAAACTTGGAGACAGTTAATATTTCCTTAGCACTGTGACAGCATTTGCACTACTACCTGGGAGGGGAGATACCTCCAGCTATGTTTAGTTTAGAGACACCTGTGTCTGTGTTACAAACACCAGGTCTACACTTGAGAACTTGGAGATACCCCTGCCTCTGGCAAACACGTAGGTGTTTGCTACTGAGATTCAAAAGTGAATATTGCACTGCTCTAGTGAACAGGTTCTCATAGGAAGAGAATGCTGTGTATTTCAGAAAGGAATCCAATTCAAAAATCCTTCTGAGCAGTTTAATTGATATGTATCAATGGTTTTCATAGCATCAATAAGAAAAAAAGAACTAAGATGTTATTGTTATTAAAAAGAAAGGAACTGAAAGTGTCTCTGGCAAGGACTCCACTAGTAGCAAACCTATGCTGTGTCACATCATCAGATCATAAGCAGGATGTCTCTTTTTTCATTAGTATGGGCATTACTTAAATCAGCAGCCAAACAGCTCAGTAAACCTGTGCAATCTTATTCTTTGCAGATGGTTTCTATTCACCAAAATCCCAGAAGGCTACTGAGGAAACAACAGTTTGAAATAAAACAGTAGGTGCAGTTAGTGACTTCCTTCTGACTTTAACTTCCATGCCAGTGTCAGCTCAAAAACCAAAGTGCCAATGTTCCTTTCCCAGCAATATCCCATTAAACTATTGGGCTTTGTTTCATTTTATACACTGAAGGTCAGCCTGTACTTATTAAACTGCAGTCTTGCTATTGTGATTTTTCTGTACAAATAAAAGTAGGTTAAACATAGAGTATTTTTTTATTAGTGACACTGATCTATGGGCACTCCAGTGAGAATTCCAACACTAGATCACATTACTACAACTACACCTACTAATAAGTAGTCTGTAGAAAGTTATCCATTGTCATGAGCATGGCCCAGGATTTGGGTTTTTTTTTAGTTAAATCAAAAACACTGCCAATGTTTCTTCATATAAAATCACCCTAGAGAAAAGTAAAAATTTCAACAAAATACAAAACTCAGCAAAATGGTTGACTAGTTTCTTCTTTGCTTACTATTTTTTGCATGTTCCTTTTACCTGTCACATGACAGGACAATGCATTTAAAATTTGTATTATAGTTCACTGGAATTCATTATGATTTCTACAGGTGCCAGCTGATTTGTCATGTGGATGAAAAAGCTACATTGAAGATATATTAATATTCTTTAAATTATCACATCACCCTTCCCTTTGCTTCTCACACTGGCAGACTGAATGCATTGCAAATTCGCCTTGGCTTCCTCATCCATACTAATTTTGTGGGGAAAAGATGTCAGCTACTGCATCTTAGCCATATGAACATATGCTTAAAAAAAAAACAAACTTGTTTTTCAATTAAGATTATTTTATTGCTGTTTCAAGGGGTTTTCAGAGTACTTTGAGATAAAGACTTGAAATAGGGGTGGGCATTTTAAAAGCACTTTTGCTATTGCTATTAAAATTCATTCAGCTTGGCAACATTAGTAAGTTAAGGGAGAAAATCTGTTCCAAACTTTTGAGTATGCTTCATTGCTAGAAATTAATAAAAAAACCCAAACATATAGCAAATAGAAGCCAAACTTGATTTCCTACCTCCAGTTCTCTGTTGCCCAAAAATAATATTTGGGAAAATTGCATCTTCATATTTTCGAAGGTGAGGGAGATAGTAGTAGATATTTGTAAGATGCATGGGGAGGTTTAACTCTTTCCACTTTAAATCACCTTAAAGACACAACAAACACACAGATCCACATAAATTAAAAAGCAAGGAGAGAAGCCTATTTCTTCACCTGTTTTGCTCAACTGAACACTGGCAGATTACCACACACAAGGTTATTCAATCAGAACTATCCCTCAGAAATGATTAAAACATTCCTCAGAAATGTTTTATAATGCTGCTTCTCAGATTATGATTAATGCCATAATATATATGACATTATATTAAATTGAGAATTTCCAAGTACAACTCCTTCCCACTCAGGTGCTGGTGCAGAGCTCCAAGCTTGAAAATACTGGGACACCATCCGTATTTCCCCATGCCTGCACACTTGCAATACTGAGTCATCTTAAAACACAGTAAGTAGTTATTTTAAAGGCAGCAGTAAAAAACTGTTTGGTTGGTTTTTTTTTTTTTTTAACATGGTTGGCAAACAATTTGTAAATTAAAAGAAACACATTCTGATTAATAACTTTCTTAACTACTTAATAAACATAAATGCTTTCCCCAAAAACTAACACATGGTGCTTTTTACAGCTCAAGCAAAAGTTCTCAGTTTATCAAATGTCCTATGGTAAAAAGAATGACCACATACAGGCCTTTAAAAACTATTCAAGAAGCAAAAGGCTACAGCAGTTAAGAGAAAAGTAGGGATTTTATTTTTCTTTACTACTTTAAAATAAACATGAAAGCAACAAAATGTTTATTGACTGGGATGGAAAGTTGCTTTTCCCAAGAAATTAATCTAAAATAACTCCCAAAATTTACCACCCTTCAAAGTTACATACGTGTATCACAAAAACCATCATCAGCTTTATTCACTCAGCTGAGATTAAGAAAAGCAGAGGCTTACTGAATGGGCAATATTTTAAGTTTTTCAACTCCCAAAAGATACTCCCACTGAAAATTAGTTCTAAAAAGAGATTTCCTACCTTACACAAAATACTTGAAAAACCCTGAAGCAACCATATATATATCTGCCCAGACATTTGTGTATGAGAGAGAGAGACTCACAAGTCCTTCCACACTGTTAAGCCATTAAATATACTGGAATTTTGCTGCATAGAAACCATCTTCACAACTTTTCAAGGACTCTCCTTCTTAATTTGGAAGTAGTACCTATCAAATATTGGGCAAGGGAGTTTAGTTCCATTGACTACAATAAACCTTTCAATTTTGGTTGTATAATAAAACATGGCTGGAATGGGAAGCAGAAGGATAAGTAAAAATAAAAGGAAAATTATTCAGTGATTTTAAGAAATTTCTGCCTTAAATCCTGTGAACTGACAGATTTAATACTTTCTGAAATTTAGCTGGCTCTAATAAGAACCGAAAGCAGAGGCAAGGGGAACTTGCACTCCCCTTTACTGCAATTTTGTGCATTAGGCAGTAACTGTTTGCCCACAGTATGTGGGGTTACTGGGGGCTGACAGCTCCTAAGGCCACCACCCTGCCAATGCTCAGCCCTTTGTTTATAAACTTCTGAACAGTCCCAATGAATTCTTATCAGATAAACAGATAAAAAACTGGCAGGGGAGAACAGGAGAAGAAACAACTCTGACTGTACAGAGAAGAAATGCACCTTGTTCTTTCCTCCCCTGTAACAGTCCTCGTTAATTCCCCATTTTAGTCTGATTATCAGCCTGCTGTACTGAATGAAAATAAGGATTGTTAAATGGTAGTTTTCAGTCACACCCAGACTCTTTCTGAAGTTGGGGGATACTGTGAAATGCCTCTAGCACAGAGATGCCTCTTCTAGTTTCCCTTCTCTCTCCAGGAAAGAAGCTCTGCCAGTCTCAACAGGGAGGAAGACAGATCCTGCATAACTACAAAATTTATTTTAGGTTACAAAATCAAACTGTCAATCTATTGCATGTAACTAGAGTGTACAGATAGACAGAGATGTACAACAGTCTGTAAAGCAAGGTAACTAAAAAGTTCTATTAAACAATGGGAAGAAGCCAGAGCACTAAAATTTATATGTTGGTGTCCTAAGAAAAAAAAAAAACCAATAAACCAACAAAACAAAAACCAGAGAAAACTCTTACACACCTGTGTGATTTTTTGTCATGTTCATTCTTCTTGCAACTATATGTTTAATTTCATCTAGGGCACTGCTCAGTTCATGTGATCTTTTTTTATTTTCCTTGTCAGCATACAACAGTCTTTGCTGAAGTTCCAGCAAGTGGAGTTGGTACATATCTAAGTCATTTCCTGCAATAAGAACATAATTTATTTTCTAAAAGGTGATTTGTGATGGAATGAATCTCAAGAATAGTAGATGGTCCAGAAGATCACATCACCAAAGTGCATAAACAATAATAAAGTTTATTCTGGATTAGAAGGAGTCTGGAAGAGTATTAAGAAGGTAGAGTTTAGGGAGCACACCTGGGTAAAGGTAAATTGAAGACAAAACCAAGAATACAAAATCCATAATAAGGAAAAAGTCAGTGAAAGACTGTGAGTTGCAAGGGAAGTTGCTCCTTTCTTCACCAAATAACAAATCGCGATGACCCTTTTCACACTGAAAAGTACAATTATGTAATGGCTTGTCTTGTGTTTCAAACACTGTTAAGAATAAAACAGAGGTAGTAAAAACATTCAGTTTTCATCTATGAGTTACAGTCTTCATCTATGAGTTTACAAAGCATTCAGTCTTCATCTATGAGTATGTTAAGAACTGTTACTAAAGACAATTAATATAAAGCAATACTTCAATAACATCACCCCTTTGCAACAGAGAGTAAAAAATGTAAAAGTGGACTTCTGCCTCATTTTAAAATGTTTTATAATGCTGCTTCTTTTATTGGTTTTGTTGTGGTTTAGTTGGTTTGGTTTGGTTTTTTCCTAGTTAAATGCTGTTATTTAGATAACATATTATCCCATTCTATTTGTAGGCTGTGCTACATTTTATTTGTGGCAGCTCTCATTTTCTAGGACCCACCGTTGTCTCTCTGGAAAAGTAAATTCCCAGGGATTCTCACCTGTAAAATACACTACGAGCAAAATACAGAGGTAATGCAAATTTGTGAGGATTTGCAGAGGTGTTTCAAACTGGAATTAGTTTGTATTTTGGATAAACAGGGGGTTTTATCTGCATTAAACACAAGTCCTTAATTTAATCAATAAATGTGTGATTGAAAGACTGAAGTTTAAAACATCTAGGAAGAAAGTGGTTAGAAAAAAAGAAGTAAACATGTGATGTGTATTATCATTATTTACCTCATTAAAATTTTAAAGGATGTTTAATAAAATCCTATTAAATTAATGCTTCCTAAAATTTTTGACACTCTTAAAAATGTTTTGACTTACAAGAAAGGCATTCGTATAAATGAGTATTTTACACTATGGAGCTATGAACATAAATTTAGCATTGCTGAAGGAAGGGGAAATCTGGATTATTTCAGCTGCATGCAACAAGACACTTCTACTTGATTGAAGTAGGCTTCCCTAAGAAAATCAGAGAATAAATTAAAAAAAATGTGGTAGGTCAAAATAGATGAAGAGTCTATCTTTAAACAATATAAAATAGATAAAATAGATTAAAATAGATTTCAAATTTAAAAATCTGTCACAAGGCATCAAGCTACAGAGCTAGAACCCCAAACAGGCTAAATTTTTTGGCATACCTAAGGAAGATCCCTTTCATCAGATACCATGTATGAACATACTTTCTTGTTTATGCTTTTCTTTTGTAGCTGTGTTTCCAATGGCACAATCCAATCTTTAGGTTTTTTTCCTTTAGAATGTATATGAATAAAATGAAAACAAAAGGTTTAAGCTGATTTAGACGACTAACAGATAATCATGGCACCATTTTCATAGCAAGAAAGTGATTCCAGATAGAACATCAATAGACGTAAACATGGTGGAAATTTATCTTGCATTTCCTAAACAAATCCAGAACTATAAGCTAAATATACAGTAATAGACATGAGTTTTTCTTTAAATTCCAATTTATGGAAAGAATTAGTAAAGAAATTGCAGACAAATTACAACATCATAGTCCCTCTCTTCATAGTTCTCTCAGCTATGCATTGTCACTGTGACTCAAAATGACCAGTGTCACCTCTGGGCTGACATTTTGGCAAGCACCAAGTAATGGCAGTTGTATTTGCTTATTTACAGATGAGCCTACCAAAGTGTCACAGGTGCCTCTTGGAAATAAAATATCAACACTCAACTATCTCTGAGTGCAGCCAAAGAAGCTGGTATTTGTAATCAGCCTTATCTATTTCTTCAGAAATAGAAGAGGGAAACTACATTTTTAAGTCTTTCAGAATTGAACCCTCTCTTGAGTCAGCAGAACATGATTCTTATTAATCACTTATCTCATTTGTTTTTGATGGCTCAGGAAGCAAGGGTTTGACACAAGGAACATAATATTCACTCACCCTAGGTAAAGAATTTATTATAAAAATATATAGTTTGAAATAGAACATGAAATATTCTAAACTTTATTAGAGCACAGGTAAATAAGCAACATTGACTATTACAAAACTTTTGTTAAAAATGTGTGTTTAGAAAGCATTATGAAGCTAAACACCCAAAATATTTCAACAGTCATTGAGTTTAAAAGGACTTGTGTGAATGAGTGTGTGTGTGTGTGTGTGTGGAAAATGTTCTTTCAGCATCTAATGATCCACAGAGAACTAAAACAGCTGCTTGCAATAGATTGCTTAGAAAGACACAGGGCATTTCAGCCTGAGAAGACTGAGGAGAGACCTCATTGTGGTTGACAGCTTCCTTGTGAGGGGGAGTGGAGGAGCAGTGGAGGGGCAGGCACTGATCTCTTCTCTGTGGTGACTGGTGACAGGACCCAAGGAAATGGCATGAAGTTGTGTCAGGGGAGGTTTAGGTGGGGTATCAGAAAAAGGTTCTTCACCCAAAGGGTGACTGGGCACTGGAACAGGCTTCCCAGTGCAGTGTCACCAAGCCTGACAGAGTTCAAGAAGATTTTGAACAACACTCTCAGGAACATGGTGTGACTATGTGCACGGCCAGGAGTTGGACTCAATTATCCTTGTGTGTCCCTTCCATCTAAGCATATTCTGGGATTCTACGTAAAGACTTCTTCTCCCTTTGGTGAGCAGAAGATTAGTCTCTCTGATGGGCTTAGAGTGGTTCACTGAATTTCCCTTCTAAGAAAAGTCAATGGGACTACACTAGCCACAAGCCATGGGAGCAAAAAAAGACCCAGCCACCTCCCAGACACAGTGATGGCACTCAAAAGCTTTTGCAGTGAATTTTCAGCTCTACTGTAGCTTTCCTCTGACTGTTAACTACACATTGGCATACATACCTATGGATACTGTAATTCTAAAGCAGCAACATTTAAAAAGGTTTTAAATGCTCTCTTGTGTTATCTCCTAATAGATACGTTTTTTATATATAAAACTTTCTGCACTGCATATTGAAACTTTAGAAACAATACCAATCTCTAAAGCAAATACTCATTCTCAAAGCCAACTGATTATTTCTCTTAGCTCCATACATACATACTTCCTGTATGATCATAAATGCTTCAGTCTCATTAACGACTTCTGGCAATATCTAAGAGCTGTGGAACAATTCATCACTATCTCCTCCTAGCACTCAAACAGAAAAGAAAATATAAGGAGAATTTGGAGTGGCAGAAGGGAGGGAAGAAAACACTTCAAAGTCTAGCAGTGAATCTTTTTCCTATTTCTTGATTACAAGCTAAATTGCTTATCATACCCAAAGACTTTTTTCTTTTAGAAACTGAAATTTGGTTAATGTCCTCCTTAAAAGAAAACTATATAAGCACACTAACTGCAAAAGATCTTGTCATACTCTGTGCCTGGAACCACTGCTCACTGTTCAGGTTAATGAGGCATATTAAACCACTGAGGCATGCATTGCACTAATAACTGGCAGTTTATTATCTCTCCATAATTGATCCAATATGAGATACCTTTCTGAATCTTGTTACATGCTTTGCATGCTCAGGTTTTGTGCTCTCTGAGTAAGGAAGGAAAAAAAAAATCCCCAAACAATGCCTCTGTCTCAGGTCAGAACAGCAAGTTCTTAGGCAAACACATTCAACAATGTGCATTACCTTTAACTATTTTGTTTCGAGTCTTACAGCACAGTATTATTTGTGTCTTCCAAAATGTTAGAGACATCTACTTGGCATTGACAGTGTCCACATCAGGAGTTACAAGGCAGTAGAGGGACTTTGCATTAACCCAGGGACATCAAAGAAAAGCACTGTGCCAGCATCTTGGAGCAGGGGAGAGAGGGTTCCTCTATTCCCATACAGGCCATATTGGGAAGAGGATCAGAATACTTTCAATATTAAAACAAACACACACCTTACAGAGTTAAAGGCAGATCAAAGTTAATAAGTGGATTTTAAAAACTCACAATATTGTCTAATGAACATGGGCTCAGTCTTGAGTTTGGCACAGAATACTTTTACTGAACAATTTACATACTGTAACTGAAAATAGACAAGCAAACTTGTTTCAAAGAAAATACAACTCAAGCTCTAACAATATTTTCTTAAATGTTGGCAAACAATCCTCATTTTAGATTCAAGTCTTTTCCTATATTAGAATGTAGTGAAAAGTGATCATAAAAATTCAGTCAGAACATCACCATATAGGAAAGCAATATTATTAAAATGAATGAAAAAGTATAGAAATGGAATGGATATTGTATAGTGTTTGGTCATAATTGGTATACTTTTGTTTTAAGGTAGTACTCAATCACTTCAAGCAATTGCTATTGCTTTGTTCTGGTTGGTATTTTAAATATTTAAATATTTTACTTTTCTTCCTGAGGTAGCAACAACCACCAAATTATACACACATGTAGTTAAATGCCTAGCCACTGACTAAGGTATTTCTAGACAAAACTCTGTTACTCAAGACTCAGTGTACAACACTAGGAAAGCAGAAGGTCATATGGTTACACTTGTCTAAGGTTATGACAAGACACTGTACAGCAAAGAGAGGTCTGAAATGCTCCCTTATCTCTTTCTTTACAAAACCCAACAATAACTGGCCTCCTTTTGTGCCACAAGATTTATGGCTAAGTTTCTTTACTCTTTAGGCACAGTCATGCCTGAAGTATCAGTAAGAAGCAGCAGAATCTTTATTTAATAAATTGCACATGTTGAAGCCAGTAAAACTACACAGCTTTTCTAAGTTTTGGATATGAATTTTGATACAAAATTTTGGATCAGTAAATACTGAGCTTTAACTGGACCCTTTGAGGCTGTTGTATGTTGGAGGGTTTTTAAAATGCCAAATACAGAACTGCACAAAGAAACCGAGTAAGCAACTGATGGACTGAAAAACTCTTTCCTTATCCCACTGTGCATTTCAGCCACATCCCAAGTACATGTTGAGGCAAAACCTGAAAGTGCAATAACCTTTGTTTGCTCTCAGTGTCACTGGAAGGAAATGTACACGTGAAGGGAAGATGTAGCCTACCAGTCAGCTGGGACAGCTGGGAAAAGTGGTGGTTAAACACAGCCTAGCAGTTCTAGAGAAGACAGGAAGATGGGCTTCTGCATGTTCAGAAATCTGGATAAGCTGTATTGGGTGATCTGAAGTGAGAGCAGTGTAATTCAAGACTTCCTTATCAAATCTGTCAATTTGCCACTATTTTATTGAACCTTTGAGTCAGAGTATGCCAGTTGGGACTGGACAGGAAACCTGCAAAGAACTCCATCACAAATGGCAGAATCTCCTGGGGACCTGCACTTGGCTGCACAGCTGAAACAAAGCATAACACCATAGACAGAAGATTACTAGAAATACACCCCTCCCTCCCAAATTTGTGGAGCAAATTCAAAATGCAGATTTTAAAAAAAATTATGATCATTACAGTTCATCCCACCTCAAAGGAATAACTAAAGAATGTCAGGTTTCACAATGTTTGACACAATGTGTATATGCCTAGATCCTTGTGACATCATATTTCAGCATCAATTTCTCCTAACTTCCAGGCAAAGATTACTTTTAATTTTCTTGGACAAAGTATCCCACAAATTTAGGTAAAGAGGGCAGCAACATGTTACAAACCAATTCAAAGAGATTTAATCTTGCAACCCTTGAGAGCAACATGAAGAAGCACTGCCAAAATAGATGATCTGATTTACCTCATTGCTGTGACTTACAAAAATGTCACTGTTATTCAGCATAGACACCAAAATTTCTTTTTATTCAGGAATACTATTTCCTCTGAAGAAACTTTATGTAAGTTCATAATGGGTTATAATATGGTTTTGCCTTCTGTTTTTCAAGTGGCAAAAAAATTACTGCCTCCTTACATTTACTTTATTATTTATATATGGGTGATTTTTTTTAAGGGATTAGTATTTACATGGAAAACAATAGTTAAACTGTGTGAGAAAAGCACTATGTATACTGTAAGTTCTATGCTATTTCTCAGAACTCCAAACCCATATGAAGAGCATTTTTGTGAGAGCAGACAATTTTGGTCAGGTGAATTAACAAGTGAATTGTAACTCAGTTTCACAAGCAGAAACCTCTGCATCATCCTAACAACAGCCTTTCCTATGTTCAGATACAAATTGTTTGCTTCAGACAGGTTTGGCTTGGGGCCTGGGGAGGGACCAAGAAGTTCACAGCAAAGCCATGTAGGACATGGAAAAGGAATTGCTGCAGCAGCCCAGCTGACTGCTCACTAATAGCAGCCTGTATTCACAAGCACTCCTGTGGATGCTTAAGAAATCATCACACTACTTTAGACACAGCATTTGCTTTCGCTGAAGATATGATCATTACCAGTTGTCTCCACAACTATTTTAATATCTTTATTTATTTTTTTTTCTGGCCGCAAAAATATCAGCATATTTAGTATGAAACCTTTGCTTATATTTATAAAGCAATGGAAAAAGTGACTATAAAAACATCTTTCTAACCATAGTTAAAATATACACAGCATTATCCACAATAACTGAAGTCTAGTGAATGTGATAGATTCTGATCTTTCATTTTTAAGTGAATGAGCGAGTAGCATCTTCCCTGCTATGCCAGTGTGAGTTACGTGTACTTGATTTTAGTCTCACAACTCCAAGTCAATACTGAGCCTGCACATAATAATCAGCAGCAGCACCAAAAGGCCAATTATTACTGCTGTCTTGACAGTAAATACATTCCAACTCAAATCTCTCAAGCTACCTTTATTATAAGGTGTTTAAAGGTCACTTTAGCTTAAAGATGACTTAAGGTACTGATTTTTATTTGCACAGAATGTGGGACAGAGCCAATATCTGATTCAAACTTATAATATTCAAGGGCTGAAAAGCTCTGAGACTGCAGACAAACTGAAGAATATTTTACATATTTTTATATTATAAAAGTACTTAAGGCAACTAGTCTTGAGCTTGGTTTTACAAAGCTTATTTACTATCCCAAAATCACTGCTTTCCAAGAAACAATCAACTAGACAGAAACCTGAGGGAATACTGCAGACTACACAGCAATAGTAGTCTACACTGCTTAGTGTGATAGACTGTAGCCAAAAAATCAAGAGCAGCCTAAACGTTTAAATGGGCAGAGCAGAGAAGTTAAAAAAATTTAGGGGAGATTTAACAAATGTATGAAAGAAAATAAGCAAGAAAACACTTGACAAATGAGGGAAAGAGATGGGGGCTGACAAGCTGCAACAGTACTCACAGTAACTGGTGGGCTAAGTGAAAATGGCATCCTGCTTTGCAGGATAAATGACCTTGATAACAGAATCTCTGGCAATAAGAGTCATGATAAAGCAAAGCTTAGGTAAATTAAACATTTCCTCTGTCCTCCAAGTGTATTATATGCATTTATATATTGCATTTATACCACCCACATTGTGTAGAGTAAAGCAATTCTTCCTACATGTAGCTCTGGTATGAAGAACAACTAGTAAAAACAAAATGATGGAGGGGATTCTGGTAACAGAAAAAAATTGTCTGCAAAGCCTATAACCAGTCATACATAATTCTTGACTTGCTCCTATTGCAAAGGGGAGGAAAAGCCCCTACAGCTTTAATATGATAAAAACTGCAACTATGAGAATGTAGAGCTCATTAATCAATGTGCACTTAGAAAAGAAAATACACATTGCAGTTTGAGAGGCACCAAAAGTGGAAATTCCTATAGTGCTCTAAGCATGACAATGGAGAGCAAATTCAGCAGTGCAGAAGGAAAAAACCAGAGGTTGAACAACATCTAAGCAGAGATATCTGCCTGTTTTCAGAGCAAAATATTAATTTTAGACCATTTTCTTAAACAAATACCCTGTGACAACCAAGAGCATTAGTGGGTTTGCTCCCAATAATTGTCTCTCTGCAGAAAAAGGTAACAACCTTTGTTATTGTTACCTATGGCTGGCTGTTCTTAAGGTTTTCTGGATGGGTAGATGGCTTGTCTTCTAACACCCCTTGGGAGCAAAGACTATATTTTCAGTAAAACAAATATAATACAAAGTCATTCACCATGTACTGCTACTTTCTCCTTCAGTTACTAATATTAATTATTTTATTTACATATTTGTGAGATTTACCAAGCTTAAGAGAGTCTAAAGACTACATATTCACATATGCAAAGATCTAAAGTTTGATACAAAACAGGTGCAAATAATATTAGTTAGGAAAATTATACCATCTGAGAGGAATTAGTTACTCAGTTTTCTGTGGAGGAGGAGCCAGCTGTGGAAAGAGAAGTTAAGACAACACATATACCACAACACCTTATCCCTCTTGTCCAAAACAAACAAACAAAACACAAACAAAATCCCAAAGCAAAACAGCCCAGTATGGAATGTCATCAGAGAAACGTCAAAAAGAAAGTGAAATGAAAATGTAATGTCAGTAATGAGGAGTCTGAAAACATGAACCACAAGACACAAGACACCACAATGGTAACTGCAGATTGGATGAACTCTTTAATTCTGACCTCTCTTTGATCTCAGTCTCCTAAGATTTTTCCTCATTTTTCCTTCCCCACTCCTTGCAGGAGTGCCACTGAAGGAAACATAAAATGTTGTAAGGTAAACAACTATATAGTTGACCTAAAAGGCAGGAGGATCAGCACTGTCTTGACTCTATTCAATATGCCATTGTGGGGCAAGATCTCTACCACCACTTTTATTTGTTACAGGAATAATTAATATAAACAAATTATCTGCTATCTGGAGTTGTGTTCATCCCAGAAATTACTTAGTGGTTTATTTTAATTCTTCTGCATCTATAAAACCAAACCTATTATAAAGGTAGGAAGCACTCAAAGATCCACTCTCTTTCCCTCACCCCAAACCAACCACCTCCTTCACCCATAACAAGCCATGTCGGCAACTTTCAGAGATACCATTTGGAAAGACCTTCTCATTTCTTTTTGGAAAATACCATCAGTTTTATCTTTCCTGCATTGGCTTAGAGAATCTTAGACATGGTTTTATGAGGATCTATTTGGCATGTGCCACCTACATAACCTACTAAAAAGGTAGTGTATTATTTTAAAGTTTAGAAATAAAATATAAAAATTCAGTTTGTTTTTTTTTTTCCTCTGCATTCCGGACCTGGAAATATGCACAGGAAAAAGTGACGATACATGAGGCACAAATACAATTACAGGATGGACAATGTCACTTTATCCTCCCCAACAATAAAATCAAAATCACTTTAAAAGTGACAGCCACAGCAATCACGTTTAGATTTTTCTTTCCATCTTAATGCAAGATGCTTGTTAGAAAAGAGCTGAAAAAATAAAAGAGAAAAAAAAAGAGCAAAAAAAGTTAAAACGAAACTTTTATTGTTTCCTAAATTCAGGGTTGTATTTTTAATAGGGCAAGTATGGCCCAAGGATCCAATCCTGTAAGCTATTTCGCAAGGTTGTGCCTGGGTGCAGTTAAAGCACGACCCCGGGGAAACAGGCGAGACCCGCACGCCCAGCCTTACACGCTGCCAAGCCCCGGCGCCACATAGGTTCCTTATTTGCCCAGCACGCCCGGAGAGCCGATCGGGTCCGGAGCTCCGGGAGGGGATGGGGCGACCCGCCGCGCTCCCCGTCGCAACCATCCCTGCCCGGAGCTCCGGACCCGATCGGCTCTGCCCTTCGCGCCCCGAACAGACGAGACGGGACGGGGCACCCCCGCCGCCCACTCTCACCTCGGCTCCCCTGCCACACCGCATACCACAGCAGGGGGAAGGCGGCGCCGAGGCACAGCGCCGGCAGCACCCGCCCGAGCCGCAGCCGCATCTCCCGCGGGCGCTGCCCGCAAGACCCCCCACGCCACCGCCTCCGCCCGGGCAACGCGGGCCGGGCGTCTTCGCGCCGCGCTGCCCTACCCTGCCCCGCCACCGCCTGCGCAAAGGGCAGGGCCACGTCCTGCCTCGCTGATCGCCGGGCGGGGCGGCCGAGCTCCTCCGCTGCACATCGGCGTTCCCCGAGGAGCGGGTGCCCGTCGGTAGGGACACGCAAAGTGCAGCGGGGACACCCGTTCCTCCCGCCGCCCGGCTTTCCCTCGGGAGACACCAGCCTCGTGCCCACGCCCAACGTTGTAATGGTGAACATAATTTTGCTCATTCAAAACCAATGGGGCACTTGGTTTTACACTGCTTGTAAAATTGTATCAGGAAGCCAAGATGTATACAATTAATACGTGCATTTAGCAGAGTCACAGAACCAGGTAAATAAACGAAGCTTTTCAGTTCACCTTTAAAGAGGAAGGAGGGCAAGCAGCTGCAAAATCTAACCCGATCAAAGTCTAATGGTACACTGGTACCTCTACCCTGATAACAGTATTATACTGCAGCCATTGTACCTTGCTTCACACATGCCTTTCCATTCAGACACGCACACCTTTTGCCTGTTTAGGTCTTCAGCAATCCATAAGAAAACAAAAAACTAGTCACTGCTTAGAATACATCTTCTACAATATAGTTTATAAAGGGAACAGATACCTCATTTACCAAGGTTCCTGGAACCACTTAGAGCAACACAGTTCTAATAGAACCACCTACATTTTATAAACAAAAATGTTCCTCCTTCTTATACCTGATTAGCAGGTATTTAGTGGCTTTTGCTTTGAAAAGTTCTCTACCTGCTCACAAATCTACTTTTCATTCTACAGCTATGATAAAGAAAATGTGCTTTCCTGTTCTGTGTGGCAAACATGCAAAGGACAGCTTCAGAAATCAGACTGGGCTTGGGTAGCTCTCAAAAGCAGCAAGCTATTTGCTATCTAAACTGTTGTCTACTTCTTAATGTATTACTAGCACATATAATTCATTACCTTATTTAGCCAGAGGAGATAGTAATTTAGATAATTTGTTTTCTAAAAATATGCTTGTATTATTAATACAGTATCTCTTCCTTCCTTTTCTCTATTTGCTTACTTAACAATTTACCTCATTTTGTACCAAACCCCCAAATCATTTTGGTGCAAAATGAATGGTGTGGTGCAAAGCAATGGCAAATCCTACAACAGTTGTGTCCAGACACAGGTGTGCTGGAGTCCTAATGTCAATGCTGCCTTTATGTGCTACTCTTTATACTAACAACAGTATAACTATGTCCATTTTGGAAATTTTAGACCTCATAAATTGTATATTGCTGCTATGGCAAGGTTAGCATGACCTTCCTGTTTTTGAATTATGACATGGGTGGGTTTATATCTCTCTTTACTAATTACTTTGAATTATAAATGTTATTATTCATTAAAAATGCAGGAGACTGCTAGTAGCCTGCATCAGTATATACATGAACTAAAAATCTCAGTGTAGCTCCATAAATTGCCGTGAAGCCTTGAGTTAGACCTCATTATTCCTGTCCTGTACGCATTTCTTATGAACTTCCCTCTACCTTCTGTTTCTGTGCCATTGAAATATTTTACTGAGAAATCTTCTTTAAGCTACACTTTGGATATGCATTTATAATTGGCTAATAAGATGCAATGCAATCACAACAAAATCCTCTTCTTCTACTGCCTTCCCATCACCATGTCCCTCTCCCACTTAATAAACTAAAAGCTCAGGGCATGAATTTTGATGGATGGTCAATGTAGATTTTGGCACATTTGCAGTAAAATAGAGATTTAGAACTAAGAGGAACAAATGAGCATTAAATACCACCCAAATAATGAATAAAATGTCTTTATTGGTTGGTGTTCTATCTGTAATAAAGCCAAAGTGAACATGTAAATGATGTGGTCAAGCAGGAGGACTGCTGAAGATAAGATTAGCAGAAATCTAACACACATTTTATTTTACCTTATGTTCAGAGCAAGTAAGGGAAAAAAAAAAAAAAAAAAAGACAAGACCATAGACTAGGTCATTAACTTTCAATGAGGTAGTGAATCTCATGACTGAAACTGTCATGAACTTCCACTGCATTGGACCTACTTGCAAATAGGGTCCCTTATCTGCTTCATGCTTTCACAGTATCTCTCTCCCAGGACTCTCTTCATATGTTATTTCACATGCTCAAGAACTGAACTGTGTATAACTGGAATAAGTTGTGTTGGGGTTTTGGGGGGTGTTAATTGTTTCAGAGCAGTTTTATCTCCCATCAGCAGACTTTCTGCATTTTTGGCAAACGGATTATCTTTAAAAAGACTCTATAGAAGAACACGTTGCTGAATAACCTGTAATACTTAATGCCAAGAAAGTGATTCACTGGACTGGTTCTCCTTACCAGCAAGAGAGTTCCTAAGCTTGTCCTTGTGCTTTGTAAGTGAACGTCTCTTCTTGGTCAGATGATTGCTCCACATTTTTATACTGTTTTCACACATCCGTGTGTAAGCAAGGGTAGAGAAACAAAACATTAAAATAAATATTTGACATAATACAGGCTTCTGGCTGAGCCAAGCAGTAGATTATTTTCCATGCCCTTCATCTGCAAAGGTATAGGAACAAAGAATAACTACCAGTAATAATACGTAATAGCTGCTGCCATGGAAAGTTTTCTGATTAGAGAGAGATCCAACTGCTAGTTATTTGCCCTGCTGGTCACCCAAGAAATGGGATTTCAAAAAGTAAACAGGTTATGATCTTTACTTCAACCAAAGTCTCTGTGAAGGTAAAATTTGAAGGCAAATACTGAACACAAGAGAAAAGTGGATTTTTATTTTTTTTTTAAAGCTACTGCATGGTATTTTTGACTGTCTTAATATAGTTTATTAATTGACTGCACATGATGATACAGAAGTATACAGTTTTACTTGCATGATCCAAGTGCTAACATTTGTATGAAATCAAACATGCTTGCTGTCTTGCAATTTACAAAAAGCTGTGAAAAAAACTGTCAAAAAAGCATGCTGTAATATTTTTAAATAATTAATTGGTTACAGATTTTACTTTAAAATACAGATTTAAAGTGAAGAAAACATAATATGAGCAAAAATAAGTGCAGGACTGAAACTTGCATCTTTTAAACACATTTCAGAAGTGCTTAATTTAAACCAACACATTAAAATCTGTCAAGCTTACCTCAACAAATCTAATTATATCACAGAGAAGTGTTGTGCAATGTACTGTCAACACCAGATAGTCTACACATCACTCCTGGAGACTGGAAGCAAAGAGAACCGATAAAACAATAATCCTGTACTGTGTGTATGTATTGTTACAGTAAATCACAATAGAAAGTGGAACAAATTCCAGAAACTGTAGTAAAAGTTTCTTTGGTTATTAACATTCTACACAAAATGTAATTTCTGTTTAAGCATAAATATAATGTCATATTTGTATGAAGCTATTTAAACCCTTAAAAGATCCCATGGAAAGGGAAACCCTTGAAGCAGTAGCAGCACAGTTTAATTTTGGTATTGAAAAATCAAAAGTCTCATCAGCTAGAAATTTCCCTGTGTTATTTGTGCACACACACACTTAAAGGATGCACCTGCTGGACTTCCTAAAATCTCAGTAGCTCAGACTTTTAATAAACTACCTCAGTGAAATCCATGCGTGGGCATAAAGACTGTTAGGAAGAACCTGACCACCCTTACATTTCTTCACATTATTGCAATTCTCCTGTCTTCCCAATAATGCTCTTCAGCTGCTGGTGTAGCCAGGACTCCTCTGACAAGATTATTTCAGCCCAGATATGTTTAAATATCACAGCAGCAGTGTGCTGCCAAGTTGTCAGATGGGAGATATAGCACAATCTTTTTTTCCCCAAGTATTTGCTCAGAATTGTTTCATATACAAACTAGGTGGGAGCTATAGTTTACACCCAGGTGCTGCAATACAGACAAATTTATTTCCTCCAGTTTCTGTTACTAGTTCTAAGGCATGGATCTTTGATTCTTTAATATATGTTTCCTGGGGTTTGGCTACCTTGGAACAACTTATATATAGGTAATGTGATAAAATCATCATGTCATCTTGTCACCAAGTAAGAATACTTTTAAATAGAGATAAATACTTTCAAGCTTATTTTCACCATTTTCAATGCTTTGAAAGTTAGATTGCTCACTAAGCAGTTACACTGCCTCTTAACATGCAACATGTACCACCTCTCCTCACAGTTTTTAAGTGTAGGAATAAGATATGCAAACAATTGAAGTTCACACATCAATGGTTTCCCCACATGAAACTAGGCACCCCTATGAGTGTAGGAACCCAGAGAGAGGATGCCAAACAAGTTGGTCTGTGCTCTGAAATTCTCTGTGGGACATAGGCCATCAGCCCTGCTGTGTGGCTTTTGATGTAGTGTAAAAGTTAGTTCAGTTTCCACATATCAAAAAAAAAATATCAGAATGCAGTCAAGCAAGTCTGCCAGCTCCCTTACAACACTCCAAATTTTGCATACAATTCCATGTTCAACCCATGTTTACTGAAACAATCAATTATAATACAATGGAAGTAGTGACTGAAACTAAATGGAACAGTCAGGCTGAACCTTCATTCAGCAAAGGCAAGGCAAGATCCATGGTAACACACTCCTTAAAATCATCTAGCCCAACTGTTGCAAGATGTGGAATATGCAAAAATTTTCTTAAGAAAGAATATCCTTTGGTGTTTGATCTTTATCTACTTTCAAGCCTAATCAGCAAGAGGGGAGATTTAAGTCATGAAACGGAGAGCACCCAACAAGCTCTAGGTGATGTCCAGGTGTTCTACCAAAAATTATTTTTTGGTAAATTGTCTTGTTAAGGTTTAGGGCTGGACAGGCTTCAATGTTCTCAGACCCAGGGGAGGTTAACAAATCTGGGCAAGAAGGATGGACCACTGTGGACAAAGTGGATGTCCCATAGTGCACACCACAAATGCAGAATTTAGGGGCCACAAGGACATCTGGCAGAATTCCCAAGATAAGGAAGAAAC